GCCATAGAATCAGTTTCGACATATATACAATAGGGAGTCAAAAGAAGCATCTATACCAAATTTCGTTGAGATATCTTCACTGGAAGCTGAGTTCAGATAGTTAGCTATATGATATAATGATGCCATAGAATCAGTTTCGACATATATACAATAGGGAGTCAAAAGAAGCATCTATACCAAATTTCGTTGAGATATCTTCACTGGAAGCTGAGTTCACATAGTTAGCTATATGATATTATATGATATATATATGCAATTCAAGCTGTTTTAACAGTTTAGGTAGCTGTAACGTATATAAGCATCTATACCAAGTTTCATTGAGATATCTTCACTGGAAGCTGAGTTCACATAGTTAGCTATATGATATTATATGATATATATATGCAATTCAAGCTGTTTTAACAGTTTTGGTAGCTGTAACTTAAATAAGCATCTATACCAAGTTTCGTTGAGATATCTTCACTGGAAGCTGAGTTCAGATAGTTAGCTAAGTGTTTAAGTTAATCTACCCGAACAGTTCCAATTTCTATGGACTCTTCAGCCAAAAGGAAGCTTCTGTATTAATTTTCAGCAGCATAGTTCACATAGATCAGATATGCGGGGAGAGCTGCTAGCACGATCATTATCATAAATATATATATCCCAATTAAGCCTCTGTCAATGCGTTGCACACTGGGCGACCAAATCGATATACCCTTTATGAACAAGTATGGAACACTTTAACGAAATCAAGTAAAAACCTCACGCCGCACAGCGATAAATTTCCGCAGCAGCTCCACTTATCCAACTTATCCCAGCAGCTCCTTGGAGCGTAACGTGGCGCACGCGCTGTCCCCTTCCCCCTCCCCCCTCCTCTTCCCACCATGGGATGCTGAGGAATTTGCGCAGGCGAACGGCAGCTGTAGCCCAAAAAAGGGCAGCGACTTTTTGCCAGTAGGCGGCACACAGAGAGGCGGGCAACGGGTTCTCGATTCTCGATTCTCGGTTCTCGTTTCCCAGTTGCCATTTTCGCCAAGTTCTCCAATCAGATGCGGCGGCTCGGCGACTGAGACTGCGGCCTAAGCTCGGTTCCCACCAGATGAGCGCCTGCCAAGGCTGATGGGTAATGGGTGCAGGGCAAAGGCAGCTGCAGGGGGAGGCCATATAGGCTACAGAACACCCTGTAATTTACTCAGAATCATGCGTTTCTTATTTTCAATTAATTTCGAATCTATAGTGCGCCTCTCTATGCGCTTCTCAACATGGTAATTACTTAAAAATCTTGCGTCTCTTATTGAATGTAATTTCCGAATCTAAAGTTCACCTTTCTAGGCGCTTCTCAAAATGAAGTTAACTTAAAGTCTTGCGTCTCTTATTTCAAATAATTCTCAAGTCTACATTGCGCCTCTCTATGCGCTTTTCTACTTAAAATCTTGCGTATCTTAATTAGAAATTTGTTTCCAATTTACAGTAAGCCTCTCTATGCGCTTCTCAACGCGCTAAAGATGATATACAAGGAGTATATACGCCAAGCCAAGTTATATTTGAAATAATTTCATTTTAAATAGGTTAAACTCGGCAAATCTAGATTCGAAACAAAATCTAGGTTCATAAATATGGAAGAGCAGCTTAAGTAGCCGAAACTAAAGGCGAGGCCGAACTCACGAGATTTTGGGCTTATGTTTTGTTGGATGGAATTGCGTGCCACAGAAGCTGCGCATCCTCAAGACCTCTCGCAGTCCCCACGCACACAGGAAACCTCTCCCGCTCCCCCTCCCCCTACTCCTCCTCCTTTCCCTCTCCCTCCACCTTCAGCTCTCGGTCAATAAGTTCAATGTCAAGTTCGTGTGCACCAATTGTTATTGTTCAGCTTCTCAGTGTGAGCTCATCGGCCAAAGGCATCGCCCGGAGTTGGAATTTTGTGGACTTTTGTGGAGCAAGGCGACGACCATGCCCCAAAAAAACAAAAAAAAAAACAAAAAAAAGGTGACGCCATAGGCGCCAAAAGATTTGTAGGGAGTTGCTCGAGTTTTTGGTGCTTTTTTTTTGTTTGACAATTGTTGTTGTTAAGTGGCAAAGCAAGATGTTAATCTCGCTGTCAAGGACAATCGCACACAGACATGCCTGACCTGCGACCCGAGTGTGCATGTGCGTGTGTGTGTGTGTGTGTGTGTGTGTGTGTGAGTCACACTCACGATGTGACTCAACGCGAGCCCAAAAAAATTAATAAGAAAAGTTATTTGAAATTTGGGGCGCAGAGCGAAGTTCAGTCAAGCAGCAAAAGAAGAAGAAAAACAAAAGAGTGCTCTAGTCGGGAGTGCCTGACTAGCAGATACCCTGCGTGCTTCTGCTTCTTCTCTCAGCCCCGCACTATGTATGGGCATTGCATCCGTGCCTAACTTCGGACCTCAAAGTCCGATCTTTATGGCATCATCGAATCGCAAGGCTTTACGCTTAATAGAGCATATTATTCGAACTCAATTAAAGCAAGCTTTAAAATCTAATCTTTAAACTGTTCAAAATTAATCATATAGGAGCCAAGCACTGTTAAGTTTTATAATATACCGTTATATATATATATATATATATACACAGGGGTATTTATTTTTTGGCTGTTTTCTTTTGTTTTCATTTTCACTCCAAATTGTTAACACACACGCACACACACGCACACACATGCACACCCACACATGTTTATGGCTATGTTAATAACAGCGCCTAACTGTCATGTTCGGTGCGTGGGCAGCGCTGCCGCCAATCTGGCAACATCAGCATAAAATATTCGCAAGATAAACAAGAAAAGACGCAAACACAAACAAACAACAACAAAAATAGTTTGTCGCGAGATTTTTATCAAACTTGCATGTTTTGCCATTTGCCGCCTATCGTAAGCTCGCGTTCGCTCTCCCTCTCTTTCTCTGCCTCTCTCGCGTACGCTTCGTTAAGTTGAGCACCGTTAGAAACCGTTTTGCAGCGCACGCTTTGTTGTCATTTGTTGTTGCTGTTGTTTTTGTTCTTTTATTCAATGTGTTTCTTTCCTGTGTTTTTTTTGGTGGTTGCAAAAATAACAACAAAAAACGTGCGACTGCCGCATTTAGTTAAATTAACATGCTTTAAACTAATTAAACACGCAATGCCACATAAAATAGCTGCGCTTATCTCAGTTATTAGCAACAATATTTTTGGTGTTTTTTTTTGGAAGTCATGCGACGCCTACGCCGGCAGCGGCAGCGGCCGCGGCAGAGCCTACAGGAGCAGCCGGCTGCTGCACAAACACAAACAAACACACGCACACATGCACACGGCAGTTTTTATTGATTTTTCACACACACAACAAACTTCAAAATAAAAAAAAAGGAGCTGGCAAAATGCGAATTAGAAAAAGCATTAGGTAAATGTGCATAGAAATATTGTTGTTGTTGTGGTTGTTGATGCCCAAAAACACTTACTGCACTTCCTCTTCCTCTCTCTCTCGCTCTCTCTCTCTCTCTCTCTCTCTCTCTCCCGCTCACTCTCGCTCCGCTTTGGTCGTGACTCCTGCGCTCGCCTCCTGTTTACAGCTGCACACGAATTTCTTTTTTTTTTTGTTTTAGTACACACCCTTTTTGGGCACACCAAATATAACATTCAACAAAAAAAAATATCACAAAACAAAAACATATATTGCTTTATTGATATTTTTGCACTCTAACTAGCATATGTATTTGCTATTTATTTATAATTATTGGCTGCATTCATTGCTTTTCATATTAGGCCCGCGCGCAATTTGGTTCGAAACAAAAAATTCGCAACGCGCTCAACCGGCGCACACACGACCGCATTCGACGAGTTGTCAATTCGAAATAACATTGATGTAACAGCTGTTAATGCGCTTGAGTCCTGGTTTCGTGCGCCCAATAGGCTGTTAAGCAGAGCATTAAGTTGGCTGCACGCAAAACGTTGCTCAACGCACAAATCGCACTGTTAACTTCACGTCTTCTGCTCCACATCTAACGAAATATGTTGGAAATTGGTTGAAAACTATTTTCCAACAGGAAAATGCTAACGTATTCATGTGGTATATTCATGGCACGCTAACAACGAGTTAGCTCCAAGACTCAACCAAAGCACGGCTGACACTCACATAACATAAACAAAACCAAGTATTTTAAATGTTCAAGCTGTTATCTTAGCCAAACTGTAAAATACATGCACATTTATTTTTCATAAAGGGAATTTTTGAAATAAGGCAATTTAATCGGATTCACTTTAAATTGCGCGCTTGCTCCTTACGTTTTATCCAATGTAATGTCAACGTAACACGAACATAGCAAACGTAAAAACGTAAACGCAAAACTGAGCAACGCAAACTCAAATTACGCAACGTAACCGTAAGAATTAATACAATTTATCAATTTGTAAAAAAAAAAAATTACTCCGAATTATTGTGCATATAAGTACAATTAGATATTGAATAATATCAGTATCGTTGGCATTTTTTTTATTTAATATTAAATTTATTAGAACAAAATGGTTGATATCGATATTTTTGGTATTTTTGAAAATCTTACGATTTTTTCGGACTGAGCGTTTTTCATATACCAATTGGCTGACTATACTTAAATATTAATCAAAAAATTAATTTTTCAAATAACGTAATCTGTAAAAATGTATAGAATTATAGGAAAAGCAGAAAACCTATTTGTTTTATTTTTAAATGAGGTTACAAAATTGATGAGCAGTGCGCTTGTTTTAAGAAACATTTGACGCAATTTACATTGCGCAGATAATCTTAATCCATTTTTCAAAATGTACTTTACACCGACCATTTTTTTAACTCTTTGAAACGAAGATATATCATTAAAAATAACATCGATATTCGATATATCGCCGCAAAAAATACCACGATGTGAATACGACATTTTTTTTGGCAAAAATATCGATACCTTGATACATTTTCGACAGCCCTAGTGCATAAATAAATGTCAACAAAGCTAGTATACGTAAGCGAACATTGTATACATTAAACAAGTGTGTAGCTATTAAACTTATAAAACGCCAATAAACCAACTTGGTTAAATAGAAACAATGTTGTGTACTATGAAAAAAGTGGCGACGTTTTGCTACCGAGCATGAAAAGAAAAGAGGAAGCAGCGCACTGAAAAATTCACGAGAAACGAATACCGAGTGCGCTCCAATATACGCCATAAATATTTATAGCAAGTGCATATTTGTTTTGTTTAATTCTAATTTCAGCTGGCGAGAAAACCAAAATAAAAGTACCTGTAACGTAATTCAAAACGTTTGCTGACGTGCTGTGTAAGTTAACAATGATTTATTGGCCACAAATTATACACAAAAATATTTGGGCAGCAGGCAATTTACAAATGCTCGTCCACTGTTATACGAGAGCGCTCTTATACACAACAAAAACTGTAGCAAAGAATTATAAAAAGCGGCTCTGATTTCCAAGAACTGTGTGCGCATATATGTGTGTGTGTGTGTATGTGTGTGCATATTAAACAGGTTTTCATACTCTTATTTGATGCCTTGTTGTTTTTATTTTTGCGCAGCCTTTGATGCGCTTTGTCCACATGCAGCACCAGCACAAGTGTGTCTCTATGTGTGTGTGTGTGTGGAAGTGTGCATATTCCGGCCCTGAAGGTCAGCGCTGCTTTCTCCCGTTGTTTTCGGCTGCTGTGCAAACATAATTACGGTTATCTTTCTTTTTTATGGCCCTAGCCACTTGAAAAAAAAAGTAATTAACTTTAACATTTTGCACAAATGTGAATGCACTCACACGTACACACACACACACACACACAACAGCGGGCAGCGTTGTCGTTGTAGTTGTGCTTGGTACGCAGGTAACTTTATCCTTACCCCTAGGGGCGTGTGCCAGCTGCCCGCTGTCCATTGTCCCTTGTATCTCATCCACCCACACTACACGCACACACACACGCACGCACACACAGGCGCGCACGCATTTTGCATTCAAACAGAGCCGCGGGCGGTATTTAAATGCGCAATCGAAACTCTTGCAAAATGCTGGGATGACACTTTCTCAATGCAAGTGACAAGTGCAAGTGAGAGAGCAATATCAGTATCCATTAAATCTGATCTGATCTGCCGCTATGTATTGATATGTTCTAAATGAGCTGCATACTAATCTACCACGATAAATATCGATAGCTGCATTGTCCCTTGTATCTCATCCACCCACACTACACGCACACACACACGCACGCACACACAGGCGCGCACGCATTTTGCATTCAAACAGAGCCGCGGGCGGTATTTAAATGCGCAATCGAAACTCTTGCAAAATGCTGGGATGACACTTTCTCAATGCAAGTGACAAGTGCAAGTGAGAGAGCAATATCAGTATCCATTAAATCTGATCTGATCTGCCGCTATGTATTGATATGTTCTAAATGAGCTGCATACTAATCTACCACGATAAATATCGATAGCTGCAAATGTGAACAATTCAATTTTAGATCCTTTGGATAAATTTAGTTTGGCTAGCGCCGCGCTCTGCTACAGATACAACAGGCTGCAGCAGCCGACGCCCATACGCGCGACTCTCGCTCTATCTCTCTGTCTCTGCCCCGAGCCTGATGCCTCCCACTTTTCACGCACTGAAACTTCAAATGCCGCAGTTTGTTTTTGCGCCCAACGCCCCGCACCGCACCGCGCCCGCTGCTCTAGTAACATCGTTCTTGGCACAGTGTGCAACGCAGGCAGAGACGAAAGAGACGCGCGCACAGTCGGATTAACGTTGTTCGTTTTGGCTGCGAGAGATAAACACAAACAGTTAACGAAAGAACGAGCGAGAGAGCAAGCCAGTACGGAACGCGCTGCCGTTGTGTGCGGACGTGTGTGCGCGCATAGAAAAAACAGAGTAGAAGGAAGGAAATTTGTTTGAAATTTTTTTTAAAAACACGCTGCGATTGAAATGAAATCTTTTGATTAGTGCTTTTTTTTGATTATTGTTTTTGCCTGTTGCACAAGTCGGAAGTGTTTAAGCGTGTTTGTTTATTAAAATTATTGTTGCAGTGCGTGCGCTGCGAGTTCCGTTGTTGTTGTTGTAGCCAGAGAGAGAGAGAGAGAGACAGACAGCATCACGACATGGAGGATCGCATGATGGCCCACACTGGCGGCATGATGGCACCCCAGGGCTACGGCCTGCCCGGCCAGGACGATGGCCAAAATGCTGGCAACGAGAACGAGGTGCGCAAGCAAAAGGACATCGGCGAAATACTGCAACAGATCATGAGCATTTCGGAGCAATCCCTCGACGAGGCGCAGGCCAGGAAGCATACGCTCAACTGTCATCGCATGAAGCCGGCCCTGTTTTCCGTTCTATGCGAGATCAAGGAGAAGACCGGTGAGTACAAAAAAAAAACAAAAACCAAATGCAACTCTGGTTGCGAGAGTGAAAGAAAGAGAGAGTGAGACATAGCCACGCTACGGCACGTCGAAGTTTGAATACTCTTTCGCTTAATGATTTAGTCTTTTGAAGTCGATTGACATTAGGTTTTGGTTCTGAGGCAAAGTTTGATTATAACATTGAAAAGCAAATCGAAAAAAGTTGCATACCCAAACCCATTTTAAGAGCATGATATAGTGGTACAGTCCAATCAAATCTTAAGTATACTATCTGTAACAAAAACGAAGTCAAATCTCTTCCAAGTTTCGACAAGACTAGAACTTGGCTATATTGACTCACCTGCTGATGTCAATCGGGTATATAGTATAGCATAGTATAGCATAGTATAGCATAGTATAGTATAATATAGCATAGCATAAAGTATAGTTTTTAGTACAGTATAGTACTATATAGACTTTAGTATAGTACTAAACGTACTTTCCTTTCTGAAATTGTAAAGAAAATGAACTATTATTGGTTTAACAGATAGACTACAAGCTTTTTGATACTTAGTCTTTCAGTTAAATGCTTTTCTTTCTCATTGAAATTGGAGATTGAAAACAAAAAACCCTTAATTTAGGTCAAATTTGTACATACTAATGACAAAAATTAGTGGCTATCCTGAAAAACGGTCCTTTTTGACTTTAAAAACAAGTAAGAGGCTCCAGTTGGGAGTTCCCGACTAGGAAATACCCTGCACATGTAGAAAGAAATTCGTGCATTTTGTCAAGACAAGCACACGTTTTCTTGAATAACTTTTGTGTTTCTTAACCGATCTTGATGAAATTTTCAACAGTAGATCTTACCGTGCTATAGAATAGAATAGAACTAAAATAGTGGCTAAAATTGGTTGGGGTTGATATGGTTGGGCTGGCAATGGCTATAAAATGATAGATACTTGATCTATATAAGCAACTTTAGCCTCAATAAAGCAACAACAATTCTCAGCAAAGTAGATTCCTTTGGTATATGGAGAAAACTACAAATTCAATAAGCTTATTCCCAGCGCCAGCTCTTTAAATTCCTGCACATTTCCTTTACTCGTTATTATCCTTGCACGCACCTTGTAGAGAATTGCGAATCGTCTTTTTCTCTTCAATTCAACTTGTTTTTTTTTGTTCCTCTTCTATTTTCCTTTTTATTACGCCCACGCAGCGACACAAAATGGGCAATAACAGCGCGTTTTGATTGTGGGCCAGATGTTTTGAATGGCTTCGGCGTTGCCATTGCCTAACCCTAAAGTACAGCCCCCCCCCCCACACACACACACCTTCCCATCTCTTTCCACCTCCCAACCTCCCAGGCTATAAGGGAGCAGGCCCCCAACTGCTGTTCGACTGAAAAGAAACCCCCAAGAATGCGCACCGTTGCGTCTTGGGCCCTTTTCGGGAGGGTTTTCTTTTGTTTTTGGTTGTGCGAACTGAAAACCCCTGGAAAATTACACTTGTTTCCTCTTGAATGTGTTTCCCAAAATGAGTTACTGGGGACAACGCCAATGGGGCAGGTTCTTCGAATTGACAAAGCTTGATAACTTGAATATTTGCTTGCAATATTTTACTACACAATACTTCAAAGTAAATATCTAGATACTTTATCTAATAAATTATATATAACTGAATATTATTATACACTGAATCCATTAAAAGTCGGTAAAAAGGGTATTATGTATTTGTGCAAATGTATGTAACAGGCAGAAGGAAGCATCTCCGACCCCATAAATCTATCCATGTCCGTCCGTCCGTCCGTCCGTCCGTCTGTCTGTCCGTCCGTATGTATGAACGTAAGGATCTCAGTACCTATAAGAGCTAGAGACTTGAAATTTTGGCTGTAGGTCCTCTTAGTCCCCGCGCAGATCGAGTTTGTTTCCGATATTCGATAACTTGCCCCGTTTCCAAGTTATCGATAATAATCGATAACCAAATCCTGTTTTTTGAGCAATTTCGGCAAATAATATGAGCTAGAGTCACCAAACTTGACATTTAGCTTCTAGAATAGTATATATATATAACAAGTATCTTTCATTTTATATCTATCGCCTGTCGGAAGAAGAGGGTTCAGGGTATCCCCTAGTCGGGAGCTCCCGACTAGAATCATACTTGTTTTTCCTTGATTTGTTGCCACTTTTTTTTAAACCCAACCAGTTTTTCCTCTTGTTCAACCTTTTTTGATTTGTTCTACGAAATAAACACGCATCAGGCTAATATGAAAGACATATTTTGTCAGAGTTTGCTATCCAAGTAAATATATAGCAAAAGAAAATAGACTCGGTTCTTGCAGACTTTTGAGATTGGGGAGTTTAAAGAGGCGAAAACTCGGATTCTTCAGATTTTCTTCAGAGATGAAATCAACAAAAATGTTTTCTGAACTCGGTTTTTTATAAAGAAGACACAAAAAAGGATTTTATATCCAGATCTTTTAAAATTTCAATTCAAAAAAAAAAAAGGATAAAGTAAGGTTATCTGCGGCACGACGAAGATTAAAAAAATATTATTATTAACAAATTTCATGGAACTAACTTTTATGTTCTCCGAGATCAAAACTTATCCCTTCTCTTGTGGATAAATCGCTCGCGAACTCTCAGCTAAAACAACGCATATATCCAGTTTAAAGATGACAAATAATGATAACAAAAGTCGTCAGCCCAACCTACCCCACTTTCAATTATTTTCCAACTACAGGGTATACAAAAAAAAAATCGGTGTGTTTTTCTCGAGTTATTTTTTATGTTATTTCCCGTTGGAGCTTGAGAAAAGCTATGCCTGCTGCTCATATGGGCCTTCGATCAGGTGACAAATGCAAAAGGGGCGTGCTCGTTGAGGGGATCGTGGGTGGAGAGGGGGGAGGGGAAGAGGGGGTGGGGTGGGGTGGGTTGTTGCGCGTGGAGCAGCTTTGTGAACTATCTAATGCGGCCCTAGATTCCGGCACAAGGCGAAATCAAATCGCTTCAGGCACATGAAAATATTTTGTTCATATATATTTACAGTAATTTTATCAAGCCGTGTGTGTGTGCGTGTGTGTGTGCGTGCGTGTGTGTGTACAAAGCGATAACAGGGCCAGGGCCCAGCGTATCGATGGCGGGCGCGCCGACAAAGTAAACAAGAATAAAACTTGCCGAGAAGACAACAACAACAAAAAAAACGAAGAGAAACACTTGACCCGGCTAGGGAATGGTGGGAGAAGAGGGGGGGGGGGGGGGGGTAGCTGCTGTTGCTGATGACCGAAACGAGTATTTTAAAAATAAAACAAAAAAAGTGGAGCAAAATAACAAACAAGTCCGACCATGGAATACCCTGCCAAAGAGTCAGGCAAAAAAAGCATAAATATTTGCAATATTTTTACGTCCAAAAGAAAAGCAATTGTTGTGGCCCATGCTAAGAAAGTTCCCCGCAACTATTCAGAATATAAACTCAAAGCTCGCTATGTTAATAGATATATATATTTTATGGGAAGAATACTTGACGAAGCGCAACACAATCTTGAATAGATTTATAATCATATGATAAAGTACTCGAACTATTGCCGAAATGTTAAAGAAAGTCTTAAATCTAGAAAAGTCTGCTCTTAATAACTTTAGACTACAAGTAAACCCAAGATTATATAATTACATATATATATGTATATTATATAATTAATGAAGAGCTCAGTTCGCATAGGCGGGCAAAAGGAAGTCTCTACACCAAAATCCCGACAGTTAACTTCATTGAGAGCCGCGTTCAGATAGGTCACTATATGATATAGTAAACCCATCCAATTAGACTAACTATGATATGGTAAACCTATCCAACTGGTTTTCACTTAATCACTTTCTAGAGCAAAAAGAAGCATCTGTACCGAGTTTCATAAAGTTAGCTTAAAAGGAAGCCGAGTTCAGATAGGTAACTATATGATATAGTAAACCCATCCAACTGGTTCCAACTTATAGACTTTCTAAGGCAAAAAGAAGGGTGTGTACCAAGTTTCGTACAGTTAGCTTAAAAGGAAGCCGAGTTCAGATAGGTAACTTATGATATAGTAAACCCATCCAACTGGTTCCAACTTATTTTCCTTTCTGCAGCAATAAAAACAATCTGTACCAAGTTCCATTAAGTTAGCTCAAATAGAAACCGAGTTCAGATAGGTCACTATATGATATAGTAAACCCATCCAACTGGTTCCAACTTATAGACTTTCTAAGGCAAAAAGAAGGGTGTGTACCAAGTTTCGTACAGTTCGCTTCATTGGAAGCCGAGTTCAGATGGATAGCTGTAAGATATAGTAACCCTATCAAACTGGTTCCAACTTATACACTTTCTGGATCAATAAGAAACGTCTTTGCCAAGTTTCATACAGTTAGCTTCATTGAGAGCCGAGTTCACATAGATCAGATATGATATTAACCGAAAGAGTATTCAGAAAATGTTTACTATTGGATTTTAAAGTTGCCCATCTTTTGCCTTGTTTAACATATTTTATCAGCTTGTCTGCGTTTGTGTGCTTGCGTGTGTGCTTGTGTGTGTGTGTGTGTGTGTGTGTGTGTGTGTGTGTGTGTGTGTGTGTGTGTGTGTGTGTTCGTCTTGAAATTAGTTTGTGAAAAGCGCAAACCTGTTCGACAGGCATGCAAAATATCACGCACAAGTATTTTGCGACTCGAGACGAGTCGCCTGTGCATATATACATCTAGATATATATATAGATATAGATATATGTATATATGTATATAGCTATATAAACTTGTAACTGACGGATATTCGACATGAAACCAGGCAGTCGACACCTTCGCCTGTTCCGCGCGTCGTCCTTTTGCGTTTGCCCCATTCAAATTTACGAGCTGGAAATGCCATTTACACACCCCTCCCCCCCCCTCCCCCCCTCACTCCTATTGAACCCCTTCCTGTTTTTAGCTTTATCCATGTATCCATCCTACAATTTGGCTGGCTGCTTTTAAATGCTTCATTAGATACGCAAATGATACGCGTTGTCCCAGCCACGCCCCTTCCCGCCCCTCCCGGCCGCCTAAGAACCTGCTCAAGACGCCAAACAAAAGGATTGTCATTTCTAGGATCTTAACTTAATAGTTTGGATAAAGACTTGTGCATGCTCTGTAAAAGTTTCAGTTTAAATTAGGTTTGAGTTGGGTTTGTTTTGGACTTAAAGCCAAAAAAAACTTAATCTGGAACAAGTTCAAAGTCTTCAAATAACTGACTGGGCATTTATTATTTTCGAGATTTTATAGCTGAATTATAAGTTGATATGTGTTTTATAAAACTGCATAGCAAATTTCGTAGGTCTAGTTCTTTTAGTTCTCGAGCTCTTTAAGTTTAGCTGGAAAATAGTTAACAAGTGAGAGGTTCTAGTCTAGGGAGCTCCCGACTACAGGATACCCTGAACCCTCTTCTGCCAAGGTATCAAATGAAAGATACAGACTATTCTAGAAGCTACATGTCAAGTTTGGTGACTCTAGCTCTAGCTCGATATCGATTTTTATCGATAACTTGGAAACGGGGCAAGTTATCGAATATCGGAAACAAACTCGATCTGCGCGGGGACTAAGAGGACCTACAGCTAAAATTTCAAGTCTCCAGCTCTTATAGGTTCTGAGATCCTTGCGTTCATACATATGAACAAACAGACGGGCATGAATGTATATACTTTATGGGGTCGGAGAAGCTTCCTTCTGCCTGTATAAAAAGCAGCTTGTGGAGTTTCGTTTAGCAAATGTCTGCAAAATTTCTATAGGAAGGATCTTAGCTTTGGTTCTTTTACCATCTGGAGTTCGACGAATCTTCGGAGCAAAAGTCTTTTATCACAGTTAGTGGTTGCTTCCATCTAGATCTTAGCGCTGGGGAGGTATTCTTTTGTCTCCAAATTAAGTAAAATCTAGAGTCTTTTATAGACTCAGTTTTCAATGGGTTTATAGTTACTTTTTATAAGGCAGGGAATGCTTGGAATAATGATATTGTGAGCATGATAATTTTTATTTCAAAAAACTTTTATACAACATTTTCATTGAGCTTGCTTGGATTGGAAACTCTGAGGTCTTCTAAAACCGCAACTGCTATCCGAAATTAGGCTGAACCAAAACTCATGCTGATTACTGGGGGAAAAAAAAGAATAGAAATATAATAGAACTCTCCACAACTAGTTAAGATTTTTGTGTTAATCCCTTAACCGTTGATTGATTTACAAGTTGAAGATAAGAACAAATTGTCAAACTTAAATTTTGCGTTTGCGTAATCAGCCGGAAAAAAAAAAACATGGCTGATAGCAGGCCCAGACACGCCCCAAACCTTCCCCGGTCTGAAAGTCTGTCTGGGCAAAACTTTGGCAATATTCGGGCTAACCTTAAACAAATATGTAAACCAACCACCGATGTCGCACGCAAAACAACAACAGCAGCTGCTGTAGCCCAACCACCTCTTTCTGTAATCTTTTAATAACATTACGCACACAGACAGGCAGGCAGGCAGCCACGCCTCCCCCAGCCCTTAGTGTCAACCTTTAAGTTTTGATATTGGAGCAGCTGTCGCCAGTGGCGCAATATGTTTCCTCTCCTCGTCTCCCATCGCCTCGCCACGCCTCTCGCTAGCTGCTATAAATTTCATAGAGAATTTAATAACATTGCCGGCACACATGTTAATGTGACGCTGTTAATGTTATTTTAACTGTTAGCACCTTTATTTTATGCGATTAGAAGTGAACTAATGACATTCTGTGCGTGTTTATCAAGAGCTTTAAAGTTTGTTGTAAAGTTTTTATTTTGATTCAGCTATTCATTTGATAATTGATTGATTGACTGACTGATTGATGGTTCACTGTTAGACTGTTAAAGCTAATGTTCTAACAGCAATTGCCCTATGATGGAGTTTTTTTTTTGTAAATTCCGCCTGAAAGTGTGAAAAATAAGTGGAAAAGTGGTTGCGGAACACTCTTGTTTACCCTCCATTTTGTTAATTGGTTACTTTTTAAGGATTGAAGCTTTGAAGCTTTGAAGCTTTAAAAGCTTTCGGCAGCTTCATAAAACTTGTTTATAGAACTTTCATATACAATTTGTTTTCTAACCTATTTTCTAGTGCTACATAATTTGTATATATTTCCTTTTTTACTATGATACAGATTTGGTCTTTCGTTTCATTTAGCTTATGTTATTTATTTAAAGTTTACTTCCAAGCTTACAGCTTTTAAGAGCTTTAAAGCACACGAAAACAGGTTTTATCATTTGTTTCAATAAAGCTTTCAGCTAATGAAATTTGCCTAATGTTTACTTCGGAGCTTTGAAAGCATATGAAAACTTCTCTCGCTTTTTCTCACTCAAGAGCTTTGTAACTGCTTGATTTAGTGCTTCAATGAATGAATGAATTATGCTTCAAAGCTTGAAAGCACATGAGCTTTTATTATGAAACGTCCTAATCTCGCTTTAGGCTCACTTAAAGCTCTGGCACGAGAAAAGCTTTCAGATATAGTTTCTAATTTTATCTAAATCTAAAAGCTTTTTTCGCTTCAGAGCTTTTGTATTGTTTTAATGGCTTGAGCTTATGTTTTAATATAGTTTTCAGCTAATGTTTTTTTAACATTTAAAGCTTCGAAAGCACATAAGAACTTTAATATTGTTCGACTTAACCTCACTTAGGAACTGTTTTTCGCGCGCTCGAACTTTTGACTTGATTTCACCTTAATCTGAAAGCTTTTCTACATTTAGAGCTTTTAATCAGATCGATCATATGTTTCCATAAAGCTTTCAGCTTATATGATTTATTTAAAAATTACCTTAAAGCTTTGAAAACTTGAATATAGTTCGACTTAACCTCACTTAGGAACTGTTTTTCTCTCGTTCGTACTGTTGACTTGATTTCACCCTAATCTGAAAGCTTTTCTCCATTTAGAGCTTTTAAACTGTAAGATTTTATCTTCTGATCAATTTTAAGCTATTGTGATTTAATTAATATTCACCTTAAAGCTTTGAAAACTTTAATATAGATTGACCTAACCTCACTTAGGAACTGTTTTTCTCTCGTTCGTACTTTTGACTTGATTTCACCCTAATCTGAAAGCTTTTCTCCATTTAGAGCTTTTAAACTGTAAGATTTTATCTTCTGATCAATTTTAAGCTATTGTGATTTAATTAATATTCACCTTAAAGCTTTGAAAACTTTAATATAGATTGACCTAACCTCACTTAGGAACTGTTCTTCTCTTGCTCGAACTTTTGACTTGATTTCACCTCAATCTGAAAGCTTTTCTCCATTTAGAGCTTTTGAACTGTTCGATGCTATTGTGATTTAATTAACATTCACCTTAAAGTTTTGAAAACTTGAATATAGTTTGACTTAACCTCACTTTAGGCCCTGCACTCCACCCGCTGCCATATTCTTATCTTGCGGCTAATGTCATTTGAAACTTTGGCCAAAAAAAAACTTTGAAAAGTTTCGATTTGAAGTTTTGGGGAATTTCTGCTGCATAGCGTGAGATTCCAGTCTGGGCCCAGAAATGTTTTATTCAAGGCAAAAGCCGTTGAAAGGGCGAGCTGCTGCGTGAGGTGTGGGATTTCATTACTTGGCTTGTGCTTATGCTTATCCTGTTCCTGGCAATTGTTTTCGTTGTCTGCATAATACATATATAGACGAGGTAGACGACGAAGAGGAAGGGAAGGAAGGGAAGGGAAGGACAGAAGGACAAGGATACGCTCTGGCCATGCTGATGAGCTGTAGAAGCTGAAGCAGCTGCGACTCCATTCAAGAAATGTTTCAGCTCGCTTTGGCTCCGGCTAACTCCTTGGCGAACGTGATTAAGATTCAAGCAGCGCCATGCGGCATGCATAGCCCAGGACTTGCGAATAACAAAAGATAATACACAACAGCAGCACGCATTTCCCTAGACAATACGTGAGACTCCCTGTGCGTGTGTGTGTGTGTGTGTGTAGTGAAAACTTTGTGCGAGCTGCGCTGCTGTTGTTGTTATTGTTTTTCGCATAATAATAAAATTCTATGCGCTCAGAACAGCCCCAGCTGAGGCGAATGCAATAAGCGCTGATGGGGCAACGCCGGCGCCATTTTGTTATTTTCTTTTATACCCATTCGTCCGTATGTATGAACGCATGGATCTCAGAACCTATAAGAGCTAGAGACTTGCAATTTTAGCTTTAGGTCCTCCTAGTGCCCGCGCAGATCGAGTTTGTTTCCGATATTCGATAACTTGCCTCGTTTCCAAGTAATCGATAAAAATCGATATCGAAATTTTGTTTTTTTTTTTTAGCAATTTTGGTAAATAATATGAGCTAGAGTCACCAAACTTGACATGTAGCTTCTAGAATAGTCTATATTTATATAAAGTATCTTTAATTTTATACCTCGCTGTTGGAAGAAGAGGATTCAGGGTATCCTGTAGTCGGGAGCTCCCGACTAGAACCTCTTACTTGTTTTTGTTTAGCAACTTTAAAGCAATTTTCTTTGCTGATTGTTTTTTTCTCTTTTCTTTGGTGTCCTGCAGTGCTCTCCATTCGCAACACGCAGGAGGAGGAGCCGCCAGATCCGCAACTGATGCGCCTCGACAACATGCTGATTGCCGAGGGCGTGGCCGGGCCCGAAAAGGGCGGCGGTGGCGCCGCGGCCGCCTCAGCAGCGGCCGCCAGCCAGGGCGGTTCACTGTCCATCGATGGCGCCGACAATGCCATCGAGCATTCGGATTATCGCGCCAAGCTGGCCCAGATCCGACAGATCTACCACCAGGAGCTGGAGAAGTACGAGCAGGCCTGCAATGAGTTTACCACGCACGTCATGAATCTGCTGCGCGAGCAGAGCCGCACTAGGTGAGAAAGAGAGCATGAGAGAGTTGCCAGATGATCTATTGAAAGCTAACGCAATCTGAGCCACCATTTTGTTATTTGGCAAGCTTAACGAATGTTTAGCTTGACGAACTTTAACAATGTGAGAGAGCGAACAGAGAGAGAGAGCATGATAGAGTTGCCAGATGATCTGTTGAAAGCTAACGCAATGTGGGCCACCATTTTGTTATTTGGCAAGCTTAACGAATGTTTAGCTTGACGAACTTTAACAATGTGAGAGAGCGAACAGAGAGAGAGAGCATGATAGAGTTGCCAGATGATCTGTTGAAAGCTAACGCAATGTGGGCCACCATTTTGTTATTTGACAAGCTTAACGAATGTTTAACTTGACGAAATTGAACATTGTGAGAGAGCGAAAAGAGAGAGAGAGCATGATAGAGTTGCCAGATGATCTGTTGAAAGCTAACGCAATGTGGGCCACCATTTTGTTATTTGACAAGCTTAACGAATGTTTAACTTGACGAAATTGAACATTGTGAGAGAGCGAAAAGAGAGAGAGAGCATGATAGAGTTGCCAGATGATCTGTTGAAAGCTATCGCAATATGGGCCACCATTTTGTTATTTGACAAGCTTAACGAATGTTTAACTTGACGAAATTGAACATTGTGAGAGAGCGAAAAGAGAGAGAGAGCATGATAGAGTTGCCAGATGATCTGTTGAAAGCTAACGCAATGTGGGCCACCATTTTGTTATTTGACAAGCTTAACGAATGTTTAACTTGACGAAATTGAACATTGTGAGAGAGCGAACAGAGAGAGAGAGCATGAGAGAGTTTTTGTTAATTGTTAATTGACAAGCTTAACGAATGTTTAACTTGACATTTAACAATGTTGCCACTTCATTATTTATTTAAACGAGAAATGTTTTCTTTGCATTACACACTTCATTGTTTTATTACAAAATTATAATACCCTTTACAATAATATTTATTCATGCTTTGACCAATTTCGATAAAGGCTTATTTTTGCATAATATCGATAAATATCGATTTTAATTTATCGTAGCTTGGAGCTGTAAGGGTCGTTAAAGCCATCTGCGCCGTGTCGAAGATATTTTATAGATAACAATAGATAGATAACAATCTTAGTTAAACATTTTACCTTGTGGCAACATTGGCTGCGCGTAACATCGATAAATCGATGCTCGATTAATCGATTATATATATATTTGCTTAACAGGCCGATCACACCCAAAGAAATCGAGCGCATGGTGCAGATAATCCACAAGAAATTCAGCTCGATTCAGATGCAGCTAAAGCAATCGACCTGCGAGGCGGTGATGATATTGCGCTCTCGATTCTTGGACGCGCGCCGCAAGCGTCGCAATTTCAGCAAGCAGGCATCCGAAATACTCAATGAGTATTTTTACAGTCATTTGAGCAATCCGTATCCATCCGAAGAGGCCAAGGAGGAGCTGGCGCGCAAATGTGGCATAACGGTGGGTATATCGATACCAAATACCTATCGGCACAATTCGAATCGATTAATCGTTACCATTTGCTGCAGGTATCGCAAGTATCGAATTGGTTTGGCAATAAGCGCATTCGCTACAAGAAGAACATCGGCAAGGCGCAGGAGGAGGCCAATCTGTATGCGGCCAAAAAGGCAGCCGGCGCCTCGCCCTATTCAATGGCCGGTCCGCCCAGCGGCACAACAACGCCGATGATGTCGCCCGCACCGCCGCAGGACTCGATGGGCTATCCGATGGGCTCCGGCGGCTACGATCAGCAGCAGCCATACGATAACAGCATGGGCGGCTACGATCCCAATCTGCATCAGGATCTCAGCCCTTGAGGATAGGCTTGCCGCAGCTAAACACAACAAAACACAACTAATAGAAAGTTCACTTTTTTTTTTCCACCCCCAATTTCCTACACGTTCTTTTCTTCGTCTTTATCTCTTTCAAATTGTGTATGTATCGGTAAATGTGCTGCAGAGCAAAACTGAACGAACTTAACGAATGTGTGCATGTGTGTGTGCAGCATGCAATCAATTATGTATACGATTATGTCTTAATTATTATTATGTACTGCAAATAAGAAAAAAGCAAAAATACAACAACAACAAATGTACGCACGCACACATACAGCAACAACTTGCACACATACGCGCACATTAACTGTTATACATACACACACACACGCTTGCACAGTGGTTCTTAGCCTATTGTCTGGCAGGCAAAAAATATATATATCTTTAAAATTGAATAACTTTTGAACCAATTAAGCGATTTAAATATGTTAAATGTCATTTTAAAATGCGAAATTATTTACGTTTCACTTAAAATTTCATATGCCATCAATTTTCAGTTTTTATACAACCTGACCCTATATAGCAACTCCTATACTTTTATATTTCTATATACATATTTATATTTATACGTTTTTTTGAACTCTTGACATTTATTAAGTTGGATCTTTATCAAAGATTTTAAACAATTTTGCACTTTTGAATCAATTCTTTTTTAGCTGTTTCCGGCTTCAAAAAGGCTGTTTTTTTCTCGCATTTTTATTGCTAACTGAAAGTAGCTAAAACTGAACATTTATGGCATATAAAACTTAAAGTAAATAAATAACATTTAACAGTTTTCAATAACTCAAATTTATTTAAAAGTTATTCTTTAGTTATATATTTGTTTTTTTGCCCGCCAGAAAAGGGCTAACTCCCGGCAGCACTTTTCTGGCTAAATGTGGCTACTTTCAGTGCTGATCAGCCGTAAGGAGTTGAAATTTTCAACTGATTTAGCTATTTTCTGGCAACTCAAGGCTGTTCAAACACAATTTGTGCACAGCAAGCTAAATTCAGCTATTTTAAGCTATTTTCCAATCAAATTCAGCTTCTTTTTTTTTAGCTGCACTCCTTTGCGTTGCAATATCAAGTTAATTAATAAACGAAAGCAAATAAAACTTAGAATTATTTTTTTCAAATATGCATCAATTGTAATTTGCACAAGTTGAGCCTGATTTCAAATTTCTAGCTTTTTGTGTGCTTAGCTTAAGTAAAGTAAAAAATTTGTTTTCATTCTAATCAATTAAAGCCCATTTTTTTTTTTTTGGCTTCTACTAAAAACTAACAAGCTTTTTGCGCTTTTACATTAATTGTGAACCTCAAATACGTAAAAAATGAGAAATCAGAAGCGAAGCATAACTTTCAACTAGGCGTTAGTTTAAATAGTTATATATATATAGTTTTTTTTTTTCGTAGTCTATTTAACGGCAAACTAAATACAACAACATTAACAATTGTATACTAAAATTAAATTTACAACAACAAACGCATGTATACCATGAAATACGAACGAAGTACATAAAGAGAAATATCTATATACACACACACATATATATATATATATATATATATATATATACTTGTATACCAGAAGAACGAATGTATACTAGAACGTAACTCCCATTTATCATGACTAGCGGTAATACTTGAAATATATATATAACATATTGTATACCAGCAAGCGCAGCGTTTGCCACTGTTATACGCCGTATAACAGTTCAGATTTAACCTAACTAAATTGTCAGCAAGTATTAAGCGTAAAAAAAAAACTCTTCCCCTGTTTATGACACTATTTATGGCAAAATTTAAACAAAAGAAAAAACTACAAAAAAAAAAAAAACGTAAAACATGTATACGATGTAAATCAAATTTATAACAACAAAGTTTTTTTTTTTTGTCCTCTTTTGTTTCCAAGCAAAAAACTTGATTGAAAGAAGAGAGAAAAAAAAAAAAAGGTTAATTCAAAAACTCCTCTTAGTATTTTATGGAAAAAGTATTGTAATATCGAATAAAGTAACAAATACGAAAACTATTTCAGCTATCTGTTAAAACACCAGATCGGTATATATACATATATAAATATATATATACATATATACATCAATCCATATACGGAATACAATTATAATTATTTTAAAACAAATACAAAAGAAAACCAACAAGAACAATGCTATATTATAATTAAATAAACAACAACAACAACAAAAAGGATTACTTGGTTTTTGTCTGAAGGTTGAACCGACAAGCGAGAGGTCGCTGGTTCAAATCGAATTTAACACACAAATTCTTATAATTAATTATTTTGTCTTTATTGTCTAAGAATTTTATTGTTGTTTACTTGCTTTTTGTCTGAAGGTTGAACCGACAAGCGAGAGGTCGCTGGTTCAAATCAAATTTAATTGAAAAACAAAATGTAAAGTTGTCTAAGAACTTTATTGTTCTTTTTTGGGCTCGCAGCACCGAGTAGAGGCAATACCCTTTGTTTTTTTGATTTTTTAATTTTTCAGACACTTCCGACCGACGCCGGGTAATTTCTGTTATCAAATATATATACCCTCTCTTCAGTATATTTGGTTAAAAATTTATTAAATATCTTCTTCCATCAATTACACTAGTTGACTTAAAAAAAAAACAGCACAAAAAGGTGAAAAAACAAAAGAAGGAAAACAAAATATCAATTTACAGGTATGCAAAGTTCAGATCGAATACAAAAGATAACTATATATATATACATATATATATATATATATAGGCAATATTATTTAATATATATATATATGTGTGTGTGTGTAGTATATGGTACATGTATCAGAGGAAGTATCACATTGTACGATTTCTTGTAGCTTGAGCCTGAGGCAGCAGGACGTGGGCGGGATGGGCGGCATGGGCGGGATGGGCGTGGGCCTAACGCCTGCCTGGGCACTTGGTCCAGATTGTGACTGTGTTGTTGTTGTTGTTGTTGGGATTGGATTTGTTATTGCTGTTGGGATAATCGGAACTATCGGGGCTGGCCCGGCGCGCCGCATCTCATTCGGTCTTGGCCTTGGCATCGTCGCTGGCATTGCAGGCGCTGGCAATTGCATTGCCATTGCGATAATCGCTGGAGATGTTGTTGTTGCTGTTGCTGCTCTCGCTGCGCCTGCGTTCGCTGGACTGTGTGCCGGCATCGCCGTTGATGGCGTCCGATATGGCGCTGGAGATGCTGGAGGCGCCTTGGTTCGACGTGGCACTCGGCACTGCACAGGCGCAGCCATCGCAGATCCGGACATCCGTTTGCCAGCCGCGCTCCGGCACCGGCATGCGCCGCTTGGAGCAGCTGCTGCAGACCGCCTGGCCGCAGCGCCGGCAATGATGGCGCCGGCAATCGCCAGCGGTTGACGCTATAGATCCAGCAGCTGATCCAGCAGCTGCTCCGGCTCCTCCAACTGAACCATTCGATTTTGAGTGCTTGCCCAGATGCTGGTGCTTGCTGCGGCCATCCGCCTGCTTGGCCAGCTCCAGCTCCTCGACGCGGCCAAAGACAGACTTGCAGATGTAGCAGCTGGGCGATTCGGCATCGGGCACCCAGTACGCCGGCCGAGCGCTGTCCTTGATCATCTCTGGAAGGGGCATTGGTATGGATTAATTATACATATTTGTTTCGATTTGTGTCCCTCCGTGTCTCCGCTTACCCCTGGGATAGTCGATGGCGACGGCGGCAACGCTGCTGATCGTATTGTAAATCGTTTCGCCATATTTGCGCACCAGGATGTCGCCCTCATCGTTGGTCGGCCTGGAGCCTGTGCATGCGATAGTCAGATTTGAATTGCAATAAGTAAATTCAGCTTGATCTTGAGTGTGCGCTGTGTGTAACAAACGAAGAAACTTTTACAGACAAGAGAGAGACAGAGAGAGCGACAGAGAGAGAGAGCGACAGAGAGAGAGAGCGAGAGAGCGACAGAGAGAGAGCGGAGGAGAGCTAGAATGAGACAGCGGGATTTGGTGCCACGCCCTGTTCTAGTCAAAAGAAAGTCCAAAGCTTAAGACGTCCTTTCAATAACATTTTGATGTTAAGCCGCTGTTAAAAGACGTCTCACTGTTACCAACATGTTATGTTAAAGGTCTATAGGTAAATGTCGCGCTCTTACTAAAATGTCTATGTTAAATTCCCGAGTCAATGCTTAACAGCTGTTAATAGATGTTTCACTGTTAACAATATATCTATGTTAAGCTGCTGTTATTCTGATGTAAATTCTATGCCTAACAGCTGTTAATAGATGTTTCACTGTTAACAATATATCTATGTTAAGCTGCTGTTAGTTCTACACTGCTATTCTAATGTAAGTTCTATGCTTAACAGCTGTTAATAGGGGTGTCCCTGTTAAGAATATATCTATGTAAAGGTGCTGTTAGTTCTACACTGTTCTTCGTGACTATACTTAACAGCTGTTAAAATTTGCACATTTAACAGCTGTTATATGCATATAACTATTTTCTACCTCAGTTGTACTCAAGTGAATAGATGCCCTCCCACTGTTAGCAACATTTTTAACATTAAAGCCTTATGTAAAGCTCTACAGAATAGTTGCATTTAGTAAAGTTGCTTAAATTGGGAAATTCGAGTGAATTCGACTTGTTTCTAATTATAAAATCATTGAATTATTTACATATTGTAAATGCTGACTCAAAATCGAGGCAGCTTAACATAATAGCATGAAGTTAGCAGTAAAATGTTAACGTAACATGAGCTCTATTGGATCTAGTTGGTGGGACGCTTGTTTCCATTAACATTCGAGTTAATTTGCATTTGCATTAGCTTCGTAAGGAATTGTATACGGACAAATAATGTAAACAGAGCATAAAAGGCTCACTTAAACATTAGGTTAACAGCAACGAGCTAACATACAAGCGCGCTGTTAAGCAACAGAGTGAGAGAGAGAGAGGCAGATAGCGAGTTGCGTGTGCTGTTATTGGGCTCTTACCCGGCGTCGTGTCCGATTTGCGCTGCAGCTGCTGATGGCAATCGTTGCAGACGCGGACCGGCTGCAGCCAGCCGCGAGCCGGCACCGGAACCCGATGCTGGCTGCACGTGTGACAGAAGCCCTCGCCGCAGCCGCGACAATGATGCTTGGGCATGCCAGTCTTCTCGAAGTTGCGCTTGCAGGCGTGGCACAGCTGCAAGCAAAAGACAAAAGAAAGGTTCAGTGAAAAGAATAAGTGAAGTGAACTAGGCTAGACGATACCCTGCAACCTGAGCTGTGCGAGCTACCCAACACTAGGCAAAATTTAAGAGCAGTTCTCTAGAGGATAATATATTATTCATTTGCATAAACTATTCGCGCATCTGTATACCAAATTTTATGTCTCTAGCTCTGATAATCTCCGGAATATGCTTCAAAAACAGAAGCTGCAAATCGATAATTATCGATTTTGAGCATTTACGGAAAAGGAGTCAATTTTGGATCATATCATAGGTAACTGGAATATAGGTATCATAGAGGATAGTGTATCGATCAAGCCAATATATCGAACTGCATTAAGGACTACGGAGAGACAGACGGACAATGATATATAAATCGATGCTAATCGATATTACGAAAATGGGCAGAGTTGTCGAAAATAGAAATCGATATTTATCGATACCATGAAAATGGTTGGAGATATCGAAAAAAATGTCTTACAAGTTGCATTAAAGACCGGAGAGACAGGTTGGCATCGAAACGAACAGACGGACAAAGATTTATGATCTATTTATCGTTACTACGAAAATGGGCAGAGATAACGATATATATATAAATCGATATTTATCGATACTATGCAAATGGTTGGAGATATCGAAAAACATCTCTTACGAGCTACACACAACTTGGCATCGAAACGATGTAGTTTTCGACGGACAAATAGACAGACATGGCTAGATCGATTCGACTCGACATTCTGATCGATAGCATATATACTTAATGGACTCGAAGATGTTTTCTGCTGTCCACACATTCTACATGGTTTCTGGCGATAAACATAATGTTGTACTGTCTCGCAGCTCTGCCAGTGTCTGATTGCGGATTTAGCTCAAGAATAGATAAGGTTTATATGAACGGATCACATATGGCCAGCTGCAATATATAGACCTTTAACTAGCCTGGCACTTAGCATAACTAACAATGATCTCCTGATTGGGACGCCAGTAGCTGGGCGCCACCTTATCGGCGAGCATTCCGCTGATGGCCTTCGTCCACGGCGCCGAGATGTTGGTGAAGGCCTCGCTGATGCTGTTGACGCTGTCGAGCACCATTTGGGCGGAATGGGCATTGGCCCGCAAGGCGGCATTGCCGCCCTTCCACACATGCACCACCTGCACGCTGTAAACAGAATTGAATTGAATTGAATTGACTGATTGACTGACTGATTGATAGATGTTTGATTGACTTACTGGACCACGGATGCCTCGGGCGATTTATTGCCATACCAATATTGACGCGCCCGATAGATTTCACCGCAATAGGGACACTCGATAACATCGCCCTTCCACACATATTTGGCCAGGCCGGACCAGGCGGTGTCCGTCTGGGATTGGGCGCGTACGCTGACGACAATCTCCTTGCCATTATTGTAGCACGCCTTGCACAGATACAGCTTATTCTCGTACTGATGCTGATAGTTGCACGGCTGCGTATTGAAATGCGATTCGCCGTCGCTGACGTGGCCCATGGAGCGCTGGCAGCGACGACTGCAGGACTCACAGTGGGCGCCGCAGGTGAAATACTGCTCGGGAAATGGATTGATCGCCTTCTCGATAATCTCACCGGCGAACTTCTGATTCAGCAGCTTCATTGCCTTGAACACAACCGATGGCTGGCGCGGCGAACGCACCGCCGTATTCTCAATTTCCAAGCGCAGTGCGTCGCTAATCTTTTTGAAATTCGTTGACTTCTTGGCGTCCGTCTGGATGCCCACATAGCGCAGCGAGCTGAACGCGTTTGTCTCATAGTTCAGCAGGGCGAAACTGTTGCGCAGCTTATCCTCAGCGCTCTCCTCAACGGCTGTAAAATAGGTTTTCAAATAGGTTTAAAGAAAGCTTAAAGTAGGTTTAAAGCGGGTTTGAAGCAGATTTCAAATTGCTTTAAAGCAGGTTTTATATAGGCTTGAAGCAGCTTTGAAGTAGATTTAAAGTCGCTTTAAAACAATTTTAAAAAGGTACAAAGCAGATTTGAATAGGTTTAAGGCCGGTTTTAGATGGGTTTAAAGTAGGTTTAAATCAAGTTTAAACTAGGTTTAAAACTGGTTTAAAATATTCTTAAACGGGTTTCAAGCTGGTCTAAAATAGGCTTAAAGCAGGTTTGAAGTAGATTTAAAGTCGCTTTAAAACAATTATAAAAAGGTACAAAGCAGATTTGAATAGGTTTAAGGCAGGTTTTAGATGGGTTTAAAGTAGGTTTAAATGAAGTTTAAACTAGGTTTAAAGCAGGTTTAAAATAGGCTTAACCGGGTTTCAAGCTGGTCTAAAATAGGCTTAAAGCAGGTTTGAAGTAGATTTAAAGTCGCTTTAAAACTGGTTTTAAATAGGTTTAAAGCAGTTTCAAAAAGGTTTTAAACAGATTTTAGATAGGTTTAGAGCATGTTTAAAATAGGCTGAAAGTAGGTTTTAAGTAGCTTTAAAGTAGATTTAAAGCAGGTTTGAAAAAGATTAAAAACAGGTTTAAAATAAGTTTTAGGCAGGTTTGAAGTAGGTGCAAAGTAGGTTTAAATAGGTTCAAAGCAGGTTTTAAATAGGTTTAGGTAGGCTTAAAGTATCTTTAAGGTAGGTTTAAATTACGTTTAAACCAGTTTTAAAGTCGGTTCAAAGCAGGTTTTTAAATAGTTTTAAAGCAGATTTGAATAGGATTAAAGTAGGTTTCAAATAGATTAAACGAAGGTTTAAAATAACTTAAAGTAGGCTTAAAGCGGGTTTGAAGCAGAACTAAAAAATGTTTAAAACAGGTTTGAAGAAGGTTTCAAACAGTTTTAAAGCATGTTTAGAACGGGTTTCGGTGTAAGGCAAGTTTCAACAGGTTTAAAGTAGGTTTAATATAGGTTTTCAATAGGGTTTAAAGCAGAAATAAAACAACTTTAAACTAGGTTTAAAGCAGATATGGATATGCTTTAAATCTGTGTAAAAATTGGTTCAAAGAAAAAGAGCAACTTTTAAATGAATTGTGAAATATGCCTTAAAAATGTATTAAGGAATAAATCAGGTCTAAAACTGGTCGAAATTGGATCAAAGCATATGTTACTAGGTCTAAATCTGAGGTAAATAGCTTTTAAACGGCTTCAATTAGACATAAAGCAGCTGTAAAATCGGTAACAACAGAATGAATCGGGTTTAAATAAGTTCCGAGACTGAAGTCAAATTGCTATACAACAATAATGGGAACAAATAACTTTAAGACTGTGTATAAAAGGGGTTTACAGAGAAGGTATATGATGTGAAGGGAAGTAAGGGGTGCTTAAAATAGATATAAAGTGAACTAAAATATAATTAACAATCTTAGCAAGAAAAGCACCGGCCGTACAACAGAGGAAGGATCCCTGCTAAATCAGGTATACAAATTTGAAAAGCTACAAGTTTAGGCAGGGCCCCGTAATTTGGACTGATACGTACAGCTTTCTAGGGGCTTCGTGTAGTGGGTCTCATGGAATATGATCACAGCTGGTCCCAGGGTGCTGCCATTGCCCATGGCCTGCAGCGCCTGGGTGAAATGCAGGCAGAACGCCTTCGAGGCGGTGCCCAGAAACTCGTACATGTCGCTATGCAGGCGCTCCGAGCGTGTCCGATAAACGACAATATCCGAAATGGCGAGTATCTATCGATAAAGAAATAAGCATAAATCCAATTGTGTAATCGATAGGCGTTTCGATAAATTGGCATTTACCTTGAGCAGCATACGCATGCGTTTACTGCTTTTGGCCGTGGTGCCCAAAAGTCCCTCGGTGTCCAGACAGAGAACACCCTGTTCCCGCTGCATGGCCGCATAGACGCCAATTGTGCAGGAGCTCTGCTCGGGCGATGTACGAAAGACGGGCTCACCGTCGAAAAATACTTGATTCATCGTATGCGATTTGCCATCGCCCGTATTGCCAAATATTGAGATCACTTTGATTTTGTCCAGTTCCTGGCATTTCAGTTTCTTGCAAAACAATTCGGGCGTCGCTATCTGTAAATTCTCATCGGCATCGAGAAAGAGAAAGGCGCGCGCCGCTGTCCCGTTCGCATTGTCAATCGAATCGTGCTCGTTGGTATCGATAAAAGGTATCGATTTGAATTCGGCATCGTTTATCACATCCGGTCGCAATACCTCGTCCTGTGTTCGAAGAGAGAAGAGAGAGGGAAGGAGAGAACGTATGAATTATGTTAACATGCTCGGATCTGTTTACATTTTGTCGCGCACCTCTCTTATGGAGACTAGAAAGGCCATGGACACTAAAAAGGAGATGAACTAAGCCTATGCAGCAGCAGCAACAACAACAACAACAACAACGTTGGCAATTTACAGGTGCCGTTAGCGCAGCAGCAAAAGCAGCAGCAGCCGAGTTAAGCGCTGATTTTAATGACTCAGCGCCTGCGGGCAACGTTTGCCTTTGCTGCTGCTCAAAAAGTGACGACGCAATTTATAATAATAAAAAAAAAAAAATAAACGTCAGGCATTTCTTTTGTTATTATTTGCCTGTATATGCGCGCGTGTGTGTGTGTGTCTGTGTGTGGAGTAAGAACATATTTCTACGTTTACAGCCCGTTAACAGTTTGCATTCTGTCAATTTTAACAGGGTTCGCCTAGGTGTGTTGACACTTTAACCCCTTAGTGGACAACTTTTTATTAACTTTGTTGATGTTGATATAATAAAATATTTGCTGATCAATAAGTTCGTATATGGTTACAAATTAAATACATATAATTTTCAGCTATTATCCAATAGCAAAATTTTGTTGGTGACAAATATTAAACACATCGCTGAGAAAATACTTTAACATTTTTTGTTCTACGAACAAAAAGTTTGGTTGTGAAATATTGCTTTTAGCGAATTGACGCCATTTGGTTAGAAATGAGATGATTATGAAATCTTTTTTCTTATTTCAACAGGGAAATCAAAACAATAAATAAACAAAAAATGGTATTTGAAAGGAAATTGCAAAAAATCCAAAAAAAAAATATCAAAAGTTGCGATTGCAACATCTTAATATATATGCATACATATTTATTTGTGCAGAGAAATGTTCTTGGGACGCATAGCTTTTACAAAAAATACAATATTTAGTTTTTATATAAAAAGTAGGGTTTGTTGCCCTTCTTCAAACTCTGATCACCCAAGGGTTAATTTGCAAACGAAGCATGTTAACAGCTTTAATACTGTGAATGTAATTTGTTAACGGCTTTTGTTTATGCCTTTGTCTATTTTTTTATTTTATTTTTTATGAAGTTCAATTTTTAAATAATATAATATAGTTTTGTAGATTAAGCCGCGGTATTGTTGTTATGACTGAATCGCTTATCAAGAGCTTATCAGTGCCCACAAACCGAAAAAAAAAACAAAACCAACTGCGACTATTGCATACATATGTACGTACTTATATTTTTTACATTTTATTTCGCCATACAGGAACTACGCGTGTGAAAGAGACGGCAAATGGAACAGAAGCAGCAACAAAGGCAAAAGCGTAGCTCGGTTATTTCAGTGTTATTGTGGTTGTTGTTGTTGTTGTAAACCTAGAGTTGTTTTCGAACACTTTGTTTATGTTGTCGTGTTGTTGTTTGGCATACACGATTATCGTCGCTTTTGCCGTGCCCCTTTTCGTATGTAAAGTGCGACGCAGCTGTTTTGGGGCTGGGCTTACAGCCGTTAAATGCTATGCGCCAAAAGCCTTGCTATAATTTATACACATAACAATGCGCATGTGTGTGTAGAACAGCTGCGGCTGTTTGCGTATGTCGGTATTTATGTGCATGCATGTGTGTGTTCGTGTGTGTGTGTGTTTGTGTTTGTTTTTATCAACGTGCGATTCATGAGCAAAACTGAATTAACAATGCGCAATACTTTTGGCCCTAACAACAATAACGTTGAATGTCAACTGGAACATATGATTTTTGGTTGTTGTTGTTGTTGTTGCTTCTGTTGCAATAATTGACAAAACCGTATTAATCTCTGTCTCTTACCTGAAAATAGTGCAAAGGTTGCATTATTGACGATTGATTTTTATTCGTTGTGTCCAGATTTATCATTATATGAATGATGAGTTGATTTTGTTAGGGATTTTCGCTGCAGCTGCAACCTGCAGCCAAATATTACTATATATGTGTGTATCGTGTTTGTATGTGTTTATTTGGCTAAGAGTGCGGCTAGCTGCCAATGGCGGTGCACTTGATTAGCTGCTTATCAATTCAATTAGCGTTGCCTATATAGATATAATGCATACACTGAGCGTTTATCCACTTTAGCTAATAATTTAACTATTTGCGCGCACACACAACAACAATCGACGAAAACGCGCACGCATTGTCAAAAAATAATAGCAATACTCTGTAATAGAGATGCGACAACGAGCCGATCAGTATATCGATGAAGAGTGTTGCCCTATCGTTTACAGATATGGGCGCATTTCGATATAAGGCACACCAGTTGCGAACGATGATCTATCAAAAATAGCATATTTAATTTGTTAAAATTTAGAAATAAAAAAAAACAGTAGTTGCTAGATTTTTAATAAAACAATCTAAGTTATTGATATTTGTTGCTGTCTGCTGCAGTCGGTATCGTTATTTGAATTCTAGTATCGCCTAAAAGTATCGCTGTGCTTAGCGTACAGCAATCACATCGATGTATCGATATGCGTTGATATCAGCATCCCCAATGTGTGTGTGCGCCGCAAAAAACAAAACGCATATTGTACGGGCACGGTGCGGGCACACATAGCGAAGGCGAACCCCCGAGTATTTCTAAATTGGCTGTGCTATCCAACGACAAATCAGTGAATTAGTTTGCCAAATAAAAATACACAACAATACCGTATTGGAAATGTCCTGAAAGTGCGGATCGGTTTTTTTGTTTTGTGCTAGTGTGCGTTTCGTGTGTCTGTGTGTCGCCGTCTCGTGTATGGTGCTAAAATTTACACATACCCACCTACACACATACACACGCAAATATCTACAATACATACATACTGACGTATACATTGTAAGTGTAGAAAATTTCTGCTGGTTTCTTTTGTTGCCTTGTTCATTTGCATTGCCCCGACTGAGTCTGCCTTGGGTGTGTGTGCGTGTCGCATCTTGTCCGTGTATCTGAAAAGGGGTGGCCATACCCCAAGAGGGTGGAGTCCGAAATTTGAGTACGTACATATATTTGTTTTTTATTTTTTGCTATGGTCAACGAATCATCAGCCACACATATAAATTACTTAATTAAAACGGTATCGGCATTTGCCGTTAAATAGCCGCAATTGCTAATCAATTCGGACACAAATGTTCAAAACATTTTTAATAAATAAACCTCGATTGTCGCCTGCCCTCATAAATCTAAAACTTCATTCGTTGTTTTCTCGGATGTTACTGAAATTTAATTGGGATGGGGTGGGGTTGTGATGTGTGTGTGTGTGTGTGTGTGTGTGTGTGTGTGTTGCGGGGGGCTGCGCACTACTTGTTGTCAGACGGCAAAACGGAAACGAGAAATTTTCATTCAACGTTTTTCTTAGTTCCATTTGATTTTTATAATGCCATTGCTCCTTGTACGTAAAAGCTTGTGTGTGTGTGTGTGTATTGTATTGACAGCGCAGAGTTGTGCTTTCCCGTTCAACTGGAGTATTTTTGTCGTTAATTTTTTATTGTGGACTCTAGTCTTAATGCACAGGTTTGGCTACACTTTTGTGTGTACTCAGCGCATTATGGGCATATTAATTAAATCTTGAACAAGAAAAAACGTAAAAGCGAAATTTTGTTGGGAAATGAACAAATATAATATACAGTAATCTGGGATTTAGTTCAATTGCTCCGTTCGAACATTAACTAACACTGAATCATGCAGCACAGCTCTAATGAAGCGCATATATACACACACACACACACATATACATGCATAGATGTAAGTGCGCGACAACGACGAGACAGCGGCGCGACGTCTGTTTGTCTGCGCTCTGTGCTTGCAATTCAAGTTGCATGCTTTTGCCGGCACACACACACACACACACACGCGCATGGCCATAAATGCGGCAGTCATGCAGATTGCACTTTGTTTATAACAAATTGCTTGCATATATTCACCCGCTTATTAACGCCACCCACACACATGCAAAGTCGCTGCTCTCACACACGCATGCACGGACAGAGTCAGTCATACACATACATACGTACATGCGCTCTCACTAACTCATGCTTTCTCTCTCTCTATTTGTGGTTTTGTCGCCTGCGTCTATTTTGCATTATTATTACAGCGCGACGCATCACCGGCACAACAACAACAACAACAATAACAGTATCAGCAACAACAATTATTACTGTGAGTTGGGCGCAGAGTGCCCTGTTGTTGCACAGCGCCAGAGCCAAAACAAAGCAACAACAAATAGCTCATACGCACACACGCATACAAACAAACATCTGCACAGCTGCTTACGCACATAAATAAACAGCACACAGCGCATAAATATATACATACGCATATTGCATTTGCATTATTCAACATAACAACTAACCAAAAAATACCAAAACACATACACACACACACACACACCACAACAAATAACCAATCAATGGCAGATTTAATGCGTTTGGGTAATGTGGACGTTGTCATACAGAAAGATAAACTTGGCTCGCCAACGGGCGGCTCCGATGACGGCAACCTAGCGGCATTGGGCGGTATAACGGGTCTCGGCGCCATGATGGCCGCTGGTGGTATTGATTTGGCCGATCTGGCACAGGAATTGGATCAGGACGAATTCGATGGGCCGCACATGTTAAATGGTGAGTAAATAAAAAAAAAAAAAACAAAAAAAAAATTGAAACTCATATCGAAACCAGTCGTAATTTATTATTTACACACAACCGAACTTGTAGCTTTGTGTCGTGCATTGGCCCCTAATTGTAAACATATGGCAGCATATGATTTTGCCCTGCTTATGCTATGCACACACCCACGCCAACATCTATGTACATGTGCATACATATCTATGTGCTTACATTAGGTGAATCATCAGCTGTTGTGAACGCAGCCTTGCGACTGGCTGCCCAAGGTGCAATGCACGGTTATTGTGTCAGGCGCGACGCGCGTCGTGCGTCGTGCGTCATGCGTCACAGACTTAAGCGACAATACAACAAACTAAAGCTGGCCAATTACTGCGTCTGCGTAGCTGTTTGTGAGTCATGCGCGCGCTCTCTCTCTCTCTCTCTCTTCCGCATAATCGCATGACATAAAGCTGCTGCGTGCGTGCGTGTGTTTATCGCATTACATTTTTGTTTGATAACCGATAAAGGCATCTGTTGACAATTGATTGCTGTCAACATTTCGTATGCAGTGCTGCCAAGTTGTTCGCAAAATGGCCGCTGCCTGCACTCAGTGTTGCCAACTTTAGCTAGAAAAAAGTAGCTGAATTTAATATTAAAAAAGACAGAATTAGCTTTCTAGCCAAAATTAGCTAGAAAATAGCTAAGTTGGCAACAATGCCTGCATACATACATGTATATATACATATGTATATATTTCTTATTTATTTCCTTGTGGGCAGCGTTTATTGATTAGAAAAATGCTTGAGTACGTTTGAAAGTTGTTCATTTCTTTATTATTATTAACTATGGCAAGTGCAACCGCAAACAAACAAATGCGACGCCACTTTTTTATGTCAGCAATTAACCGCTTGATTATTCAAGTATTCAATTATCGCCAACCTGTACTCTATTGGCTCTCAGTGCAACTCTGCACGTGATATCGGTTTTGGCAAATTGCTTGCGTCGAGTTCGTATGTGCAATATATATTGCACTGCATGGGATACACTGGCTGAGTCATCGGCTTTGTGCGGCTAGCTCGAGTGCGCTGCACACTTTTATCGATAATTATCGATCTTGCTGATCGATGTTTCAAATTGATCAAAAATTACACAATTAACAATTCATTTGGCACAAAGACTTGTTCCCAAATCTCAATTCTCGCACACTTTTATAAAAATTAAGATTAAAGCCAAGTGATTATTATTTATATCGATTGTTACGGAATGGTCTGTGTTATCGATAACTGCATGTATATTTATATCACAGCAAGCCCACCTAATCAGTTACATATGCACTCATATCAGTTCAAGTTAGGGTGTATCATGTCTGGCGTGCCAGAAAAAACTTTTTATACATTTTCTGATCGGTTTATTTTGCGTTCGTTTTTCATATCATTTTGTCACACTTTGTGCTTGCGACGCGTCGCGTGTTGTGTAATGTTGTTAATTTGGCACATTTTTCAACATTATTTGCTTGCAGGCGAACGTCCGGCGATAATTGCGCCCCCGGAGAGCGAATGGTATCACGGAAGACTCGATCGCTATTCGGCGGAGGCGCGTCTTCGTGGCAGCGGCAAATTGGGCAGCTATCTGGGTGCGTATTTATTGATATTATGATATTTATATATATAATATTTAACGGCTTCTTCTTTCATAAAGTGCGCGAAAGTGATCGCAAGCCCGGCTCGTATGTGCTCAGCTATTATGGACGCACTGGCATCAATCATTTCCGGTGAGTTTTGCCGCTATTAAAAAGTGCTGCCCCACTTTGCTAACCTCTTATTCCGCCTTTTTTTTAGCATTACGGCCGTTTGCGGCGACTTTTACATTGGCGGACGTCAGTTCATTTCCTTAAGCGATCTCGTTGGCTATTACACATCGTGCAGCGATCTGCTGAAGCGCGAACGTCTGGTCATACCCGTCGCCCCGCCGGAGCCGGTCAATGATAAGAAGCGCGTTGTGGCCATTTTGCCGTATACGAAAATGCCGGAAACGGATGAGCTGAGCTTCCAGAAGGGCGACATATTCTTTGTGCACAACGACATGGGCGATGGCTGGCTCTGGGTGACGGCGCATCGCACCGGCGAGCAGGGCATGATATTCCGTGAACTAGTCGACGATCTGGATGTCTCCATTGATCCCAATACGGTGTTTCCCTGGTTCCATCCGAATTGCACCAAGAACGAGGCGGTCGATATGCTGGTTAAGGGTGAGTACGCAACAGTTGTTAGCTCGATAAATATAGTTATCGATAACTGGGCATTTGTAAGTGTGAACCGGTTCACAACTGAGAACTGCTTTGATAGAGATTCTCTAAAACAGTTCCAAATTTTTTTCAAAATGTTACAGAAAGAAATCAAACCTGTCAACTGGTTCACCATCATTTTGCAGCTCATTTTAAAGCTCTGATGATGAGTCAATGAAAATATTTATCGATAAATATCGATATGCATAACAAATTTAAGTTTCTTATCGATAACTTTTATTCAATCAGAACTGTGAACTGATTCATAGGTGATTGCAATTCGTGTTGCAGCTACTTTTAAAGCTATGCTAATGGGTCAATTTGAATACTTATCGATAAATATCGATATGTAGACAAAAATTAAGTTTCCAATCGATAGCTTTTATTGAATTGGAACTGTGAGATGGTTCAAAGTTGATTTGAAATCATTTGCTGGTTAAATGTAAATATTTATCGATAAACATCGATCAGCATAACAAAACTAAGTTTTTTATCGATAACTTTGCAAAACTTTTTAAGCAAAACTGTGAACTGGTTCAAAGGGAGCTGTACGTCATTTTGCAGCTATTATTAGAGCTCCGCTCATAAATCAATGTTAATACTCAACGATAAATATCGATTTGCATAGCAAAACATTTAATCGATCAATTTGGCTAACTTGTGTTCTGGGCTTTTTCAGCTGGTCCTGGCAGCTTTCTGGTGCGTCCCAGCGACAATTCGCCCGGTGACTACTCGCTCTTCTTTCACATCAACAATCAGATTCAGAGATTTCGGATTGAGAAGAAGGGCGTACGCTATCTGATGGGCGGCCGGACATTCGAATGCCTCGACGCGGTGATCAATCGTTATCGGAAGGAGCAAATTGTCGAGGGCCATTCCCTGAACCATCCCGTCGTGAACGGCTCACAGCCGGAGTTCAATCAGCAATATGTGGTAGAGAAGGCGGCCGAAAAGATATACGCAACGCTGCGCGAATGCCGCGATCAGATCGGGCTCAAGAAGATCAAGGGCATCAAGCATCATGGCCATCTCAATAAGAAGTCGGACAAGACAACCAAATGGAAGCAGCTGTACTTTGCGCTGATCAACGACGGCACCGAGACCCAGCTGTGCTTCTATGACAATCCCAAAAAGACTAAGCCCAAGGGCCTAATCGATTTGTCGTGCGCGTATCTGTATCAGTGCCATGATTCGCTCTGGGAGCGACCCTATTGCTTTCAAATTGTCGAGCGTGCGCTGCCCTGCCTGGCCACAGTCACCTATCTGTGCGCGCCCAGCCAGGAGAGCTATGTGGAATGGATAAATGCGCTGAAGGCGCAATGCGATTCCCAGCTGAGCCGTGCCCAGAAGAAGGTGTCGCGTCTGCGTGAGCTGCGTTGCCTCAATCTGCATGTGCTGGAGGCGCATCGATTGCCCTTCAAACTGGTGCCACATCCCTATTGCAGTATTTCGCTCAATCAGGTCAAGGTGGGCAAGACGCGTGTCAAGATTGCGCCCGAGCCCGTCTGGGAGGAGGAGTTTGTGCTCGAGTGAGTTGCCTTTTGATTGGCTGCTGCATCCATTTCCATTTTAACTGCAACTGTTTTTGTCTCAATTGCAGCGATGTGCCGCCCGATGTTGTATCCCTGACCATAACGGTGGTGTCGCGCGGCAAGCGCGGCAAGGACTCGGAGGTGGCCGAGCTGACCATCGATTTGGCCAGCCTGAAGAACGGCCAGGAGACTGAGGACTGGTACAAGCTGACGGGCATGACACCGATGGGCGAATGGGGCTCGCTGCGGCTGCGCATGCGCTATCTGGACGATCTGATAATGCCCTGCGAGGAATATAGCCCACTGCAACAGCTGCTGCTCGAGCCGGAGCTGTATGCGGTCAAGGCGCTCGCCGAGCTCTGTCACAACGATCGGGTGCCGTTGGCGACGGCGCTGTTGCGCGTCTTTCGGCACGAGAAACGCGAAACGGAATTGATACGCATCCTCTGCCAGGCCGAGGTGGCGCGCGAAAACGAAACAACAACCTTATTTCGCGGCGCCTCGCTGGCGACCACACTGATGGATTTGTATATGCGCACCGAGTGCAGCGGATTTCTGCAGTCGGCGGTTAGCGAGACCGTGCAGCGGATACTCGAGAGCAAACAGTCGGCGGAGCTGAATCCAACCAAAATGGATGTCAACGATGATGCGTGCACAAATGCTGAATTCCTGCTGCAGATACTCGATCTGGTCACCCAATCGATATTCACATCGCCGGACGCCTGTCCGCGCAACGTACGCTACATATGCAATTGCCTGCAGAAGGCCGTTGTGGCCAAATGGCCAACGGAACGCCTGGTGCGCACACGTGTCGTCTCTGGTTTTATATTCCTGCGTCTGCTCTGCCCGTCGCTGCTCAATCCCCGGCAATTTGGCCTGGTCAGCGAGACACCGCCAACGGCGGCCACGCGCTCCCTCATCATGGTGGCCAAGTGCCTGCAGAATCTGGCCAATCTCATTGAATTTGGCGGCAAGGTAGGTTTTTTTTGACAGTTAATCGATTTATCGACTTATCGCGACTTTAACGCTTGCAGGAACAATATATGGAGGTGGTCAATCCGTTTATACTCAAGAATAAGGAACGCATGATTGTCTTCTTGGATCAGCTGTCGCTGGTCAGCGATCCCAATCCGCCGCTGGGCATGTTTGTCGAGCAGAATCCCAATCACAATGCACAGGATACGGGTGAGTCGATGAAAGAAAATTCTCTCCATAATTCGATAACATGTTTCTCTCTCTCTCTCTCTCTCTGCGATAGGCCGTGAGTTAGCCACATTGCATCACATCTGCGTATCGTATTTGCCAGAGCTGCAGGAACTATCGAATATTTTATCGATCAAGAAACTGGTCACCGTGACCGATATGCTGACCAAGCACAAATTGAAATACCGCGAGATGATCAGCTAAGATGAACAAACAAACGATGATAAGAGCAACAGCCATCAGTCAGTTTATCTATATATATATATATATATATATATATATAGCATATACATTTTTATATAGATATTTACATGCATATATATATATATAGTATATACACAGTTGAAAGCCCAAAAAGAATGGAAAATGAAGAAAAACCATCAAATATATATAGAGTGCATAAATTGTGAGAATAGTTCCAAGTAGTTTAGTCAAGCTTTTCTCGCGCCATTTTTTGGGTTGTACTTGATAACATTTTACTTTATATGTTCTCTTCCAAATCTTTCAAATATTATTATTAAATTATATATATACATATATACGATTTAGATGATATATGTACATCTCTCTCTCTCTCTCTATATATATACATATATATAGAAATTAGCGTATATGGAGTATGTCGTTTTTTTATTTTTATACAAACGAAAAATCTATTATACATTATTATGAAAGCAGCTAAAACAAAATACTTTAGTAATTAGCCAGGTCAAAATGTGTTCAACAATGGGATAAACCATAAAAGAAAGCAAAACAAACAAAAAAAAAAAACGAACAACAACAAAAGTATTTATACATTTTTTTTCGGAAATGTGTCTTCGGGAGTAAACAAAACAAAAGACATAAACAAAAACAGAAAAAAACTGAAAAAAACACGCGTGGCCATTAAATAAAAACTAAACTTAAAGAAAACTCCAAATAATAATGCAATATTATATATATATATATATATATACAAAAAAAAAAAAAAAGAATATTTTAAATGAAAAAACAATACTTTTCGTCTTAAACATTAATTTTAGCTTATACGAAATCCATATGAAAATTATATCTTATTAACGAAGTCGAATATTTTAAACGCACGCATACATGCACACAAAAATAAGTAAATTATGCTATATTATCCAACTATTAACGTATCTCGATTATGTATTACTATTATTATGTATATTATATACGACGTTTTTAACGCTAGGCAAGCGCATTTTCAACTTACCTTTATATACATATATATATTTTAAATAACTTTTATTTGTATTTCGTATTTGTTGTTTTTTTTTTTTTACCTTGTATGCAGGCACAATTGATTTGTTTTCCATTCTCTACTCTGTTTTGTCCTTCTCTTATTTTCTCTATCTCTTTTAATAATAACAATTGCAATTCGTATGTATGTGACAAAATGAGCAAAGATTTAAATGAAACATAGTTGAACTCAAATGAGCAAATGTTTAAGTTCATATTGTAATTTGTAACGCATCAAAATGAAGAAACAAAACAAAATAGTTATCTATATATATATATATATATACATGTATAGTATGTATACAGCATCTGCATCCTAGTCAAAAGAAAAGCAAACAAAACAAAAATAAAGAAAACCTACGAAAAATAATAAAACAAACAAAACATTTTATTATTAAGTGGTTGCTCTGCAAATAAATTGCCTTGTTTAGCAAAGCGCGCGAATTCAAAATTTCAAATCAGTTCTTAAATGTCGATACATTTAGTTGGCGCCAAGTATCGATAACAATAGTACGGCTTACCATATTTATTCTGCAAATTCGGTGTGGGTACACTGTTCCGGTCATGTGATAAGAAGACAAGCAGTGGGTATACAGTGTGACTTCCAATTAAACATCCATGCACAAAAGAGTTTTATATCCTAAAAATAACAGATGATTAAACATCGAGGAAAAGTAAATGCAGAAGAAATGCTAAAAAAATTGAATGCAAATAAAAAGCGCCGCCGCCGCCGCCATAGGGTGCGCTTGGCAAAACAGTGTGTACATAACACAGCTGGTGCGCAACTGTTGCGGAACAGCTTGGCAGCGCTCTTCCATTACACTTGCTTCATTTTCTTGATAAAGTATCTGAACAGTACAGAAGCTAAAGACCGATCGCTGAAGAATCATGGCATTAATACCGCCGGTGACACGCCTAACCGCCTCCATAATACGGATACTCGGCTGCAATCCCGGCCCAATGACACTGCAGGGCACAAACACGTATCTGCTGGGCAACGGTAAAAAGTGAGCGTATCCAAAGTTCAAATTGATATTGGGATTTACGTAAAATTTGTGCAAACAGGCGCATACTTATAGACACGGGCGACGAGAATGTGCCGCAGTATATTGAGCATCTGAGCGGGGTGCTGCGCCAGGAGCAGGCCTCCATTGCCACCATCATACTGACCCACTGGCATCACGATCATGTGGGCGGGGTCAAGGACATTGTGGGAACCCAGCTGGCGGACAAGGGTGCGTACTTCCCGGCTTGAATATATATAAACCAGAAAGTTTAGCTTCTTGTGTGTGTTGTCATTAAAGTGCTCCTCAATCCAGATTGTCAGGTGTTCAAGTTCCGGCGCAGCGATGATGCCAGCGATGTCTGCCCAGAGATACCCAGCCACATACCGGTGCAGCGACTGGAGGATTGCCAGGAGTTTGCCGTCGATGGCGCCAAAGTGCGCATTGTCCACACGCCCGGACATACCACAGATCATGTCGTTCTTACCACGGACGATGGCACACTCTTTAGCGGCGATTGCATACTGGGTAAGTCTTGGATGCCCCGTACTCTAAGACACACTCGTCCTAATCCCCCCCGCTAATCACATCTTTCACAGGGGAGGGCACCGCCGTCTTTGAGGATCTGTTTGACTACATGCGCAGCCTAGATAAAATACTGAAAATACGCCCGGAGCGCATCTATCCCGGCCATGGCAATGTGATCGATGAGCCCGTGGGCAAAATTGAGTATTATATAAATCATCGCAATCAGCGGGAACAGCAGATACTGCAGTTCTTTAGCCAGCGTCCCGGCCAGCGCCTGCAGCCCATGGATGTGGTCAAGGTGGTGTACAAGGAGACGCCCGAGCAGCTGTGGCCCGCAGCAGCCTACAATGTTGAGCACCATCTGAGCAAGCTCACAAAGGAGCACAAGCTGCGGCTTAGCGAGCAGAGCGCGGAGAAGTTCTACGAGTATCAGCCTAACAGTGCGCTCTGAGCGATGCGCCCAACATCTGTTAACATAATTATGTAAATGTTTTTTTGATGCATGTTAAATAGATTTACAGCTTTATAACTGAAATGTCTTTAAACTGGAAAGAGTATCTTTCTACTCTACAATGGGACTGTTAAATTATTAAGGAAGCTTTAACAGCTGAGAGATGCGCCCAACATCTGTTAACATAATTATGTAAATGTTTTTTGATGCATGTTAAATAGAGTTACAGCCTTATAAAGAGTATCTATCTATTTCTAAAGTCGGGCTATTACATTACGTAGGCAGTTTTAACAGCCGCTCTATTTAACATAAGCAGCTTATGTTAAGCGCTGAGTAAATGGCGTGCTGTTACTAACATTAGAAGCAATACGCAAATGCCAGCTTTATGAATTTAACATTCCTCAGGGTAGTTTTAACAGCAATAAAATTGCTGTCAATAACATCTGTTACTAACATTCAGAGCATGTTAAACACAAAGATGTTAATTTCCAAATCTATTATGCACTAGATTATATTTATTCTATACATTAGCATTTACATAAGCTGACTACAAGCTACAATCGGGGGCTGGAGACGGAACGTAGAGGATTTTTTTTGGCCTACTTGCGTTTGCCGCCCTTGCCCTTGCCACCCTTGGCCCCCTTGCTGCCCTTTTCGCGACGCTTTTTGGCAACTATCGAGCGTTTGTCCTTCTTCTCGCGCGGATCGACAACGCGATAGCGTCCCTTGACGCCAGCTGGACGACGGGCGCGACGCGAGGCTGTATGCTTTTTGGCCACCACGTAGGTGATCTCCTTTTTCTTCTCCTGCGCCTTCTTGTAGACCTTCTTCAGCTGCTTGGCCTTCTCCTGGGAGGTGGCATCGGCATTCTCCATTATCTTTTCGGCCATCTTTTTGGCCTTGGCCAGACGCTTGGTGGCGCGACGCTTCTTGCGCGCCTTCGCCTCCATCACCTTCTTGATGGGGCGCACGTTTAGCTCCTGCACCTTGCGCTGATACTCCTCGGTCAGCTCCTTGGGCACCGGCTGCGGCTTGGTCATATGCTCGGCCTCATCCTGCTCAAACCATACCGGCAGATTGTCATCATTGAACGCATACCGATTCCAGGCGGCATCGATCAATTCGCGGCGCGTCTTCTTGCCACGCACCAGGAGCGCACCCAGCGCCAGCTCTTCCTCGCTGAGACGCACCTTCTTCGCCTTGGGTGCTGCGAGAAAGTAGAAATTATTAATATTTACAATGCATTTATGCAGTAGCTTTGGCTGTGGCCTCTCCTCTGAGATTCGAACCAGCATCCTTCTTGTGACTCGTTTCCATGAACCCTTTTACCAGCTCTTCGTATTTCTCTCTCACTCTTTTTCATTATCCGCATTTTTCCTACTTTCATTTAACTGGATATAATGCTCCCTTCAGAAGTTCCTAACATTAAGCCACAGGGTGTTCTAGGTATTAAACCTAACCTAACCTATATCTCTCGCTTTCTCCGTCTCTCCCTTTCTGCATTTTAAGACAGCTTCATCTTGCTCCTTATCCTTCCTATCCTTTTTTTAATAACAGTTTCTTTAGCTCTTTTGTCATCGTATTGTACAGAGATAGTTAGCACAGGGTGTCACAAGAATAAGTTTTGAAATGTTTCAAACATAACCTAGCTTTAATGTTATGCTCTCTCTCTGTCACTCTCTCTCTCAAGCTCCTTCCATTTGTTGTTCTTTATTTTCATTCTCATTCGTCACATTATACAGGGCTATTTAGTTCGGGGTCAAACAGGGTGTTCCAATTTTGTTGTAGCCTTTAAGACTCACATACAATCCTTTTAATTGTATCTCCCTTTCCCCTAGATAGATGATTTATAAGTCGTAGACATTCGTAAGGGGTGTTACTGGGGCAGGTTGTTCCAAGTTTTTAACCTAACCTAGGCTTATCTATCTGTAATGCTCGATCTCTCTCTCTCTCGCTCTTTTCCATAATATATCTCTATTTTCATAGACAGTTGATAGATCCCAGCTCATTTGTCAATATATTACTAAGGAAGAATAAGTACAGGGTGTCACTCGGACAGGGTGTTCCTTTCTGATCTATCATAGCTTAACCTTTGTGCTCTCTCTTTTATTTCTCCTTTTCAAATGCAGTTGATGGGTCGCAGTTCTTTGTCTATATATTACACTGGAATTATTAGTACAGGGTGTTACTAGGACAGGGTGTTCCAACCATTCTAACATAACCTAACTTATCTTTCTCACTGTAGCAGAAGGAAGAAAGATATTGTTTCTATTTTTTTTATAGACATTTGGCACAGGGTGACACTAGGACAGGGTGTTCCCACCTTTTTAACTTGACTTAACATATTTCATGCGCTCTGCTATTTTATCTGTTTTTTTTTCATAGACAGTTGATATATTATGCCTGAATAATTAACACAGGGTGTCCCTAGCACAGGGTGAAGCAACCTTTCTGACTTAACCTCACTTATTTCTCCCTCTCTCGCTCATTTATCGCTATTTTATTGTTATTTTATTTATTGTTAGCTCAAGTCTCACCTTTGGCTATGTCGCCAGCTACTTGATCCTCATCCACTTCCTGATCGGAGTCCGAGTCCGATGACTCGGAGCTGCTGTCCTCCTTCTCCACATCGTGACGGGCGCGACGTTTGGCCTTCTTGCCCAGGGCCAGGGTGCCGCCGGCATCGAAGTCCTCCAGGGCCGGGCGATTCTCGCCGAGTACGGCCACGCCCTTGGCCTTATATGCCTTGGCCAGATTATCCAGATCATAGTTCTCCTCGTCGTCGTCCTCAGCGTTGCCAATATTCTGTAGATTATCCTTTTCATACCAGAGCGCAACGCGCTGCTGTCGCCGGGTGTCCTTGTCCCGGAAATCGCCGGATTTGATAAGCGGATGCTCGCCGCGCTGCTTCTTCTTCTTCTGCTTGCCCTTAGATTCGGGCTGATCCTCGTCATCGTTGTCGCTTAGGCCGAGGCCCTGCTGCTCATAGTCGCTGTCGCTATCCTCCTCAGCGCTCACCTCGGGCTCGTCATCGTTCTCGTAGTTGGCATCATCGTCCATGCGTTTGTCGTCCTTGTCATATTTCTTGTATTTGGGCAGCTTGGGTGTCTCGACGGCGTCGCCGTCCACATCGAAGTCGGGCTGCACGTCAAGCATGGCGTCCAGCTCGTTGACGCTGTTGATGCCCTTCAGATCGAAGATCTCGTGTTCGGTCTCCTCGACGGGCCCGTCGTCGCCCTTGATGACCATATTGAGGTTCATTTTCTCGTGCAGCTTGGCCTTCGATTTGAGCGTCTTTTTGCGTTTGCGTTTCAGCTCCTTTTGCTCCTCGGTGGCGAGGCTTTCGATTTGTTGCTGCAGCTCGGCATCCTCCATATCCTCGATTTGGTCCTGGGTGAGCGGCTCGGCTGGCTTTTCTGTTTCCGGCTCCTCGATGACGCCCTCCGTTTCGGACTGGAAGAGCTCCTGCTTGATGTGCTTCCACCAGAGCAGCAGACCCTTGATGTCCTTGCGACCCAACACCTTAAGGTCCTTGCAGCACTCGAGTATCTCGCTGGTGGTCCGCTTGTGCTTGGCTATGCGCTCATCATCGATGCGTATGGAGCCGATGCCCTGCAGAGCGGCCAACGCATTCTCCGCCTGCATGAACTCCGTGGCGGCCAAATCGTTGCGCAGCGCAATATCCTGTTCCGTATAGCCCTCGGCCTTGATGCGTTTCTGTTTCTCCGGATGCAGCAGACTGTTCTTTTGCTTGCCCTCCAGATCCAGCTCCTCGAACACATATTTGGCGTCCAGCAGACGCGGATCGATGCGATCCGGCGCCAAATAGCCCTGGCAAACAACAAAGATTTCGGCCGACTCCTTACGCGAGGCGCTCGGCTTGGTGGCATGCACCTTCCTGAACAGCTGCTTGAGCACCCAGAGCAATGCATTGTAGTCCTTGGAGCGGAACACTTTGGTCACAAACCAGCCGCCGCCGCGCAAAAAATGTGTGCCCAGCTTGAGGGCGTTCAATGTGAGACAGATCTGCTGATAGGCATCGTACAGCCAGTTGCGGCCCACGTTCGGGGCACCGTCGTGCAGCACCACATCGACCTTCCACGATTGCAGCTCCTTGGTCAGCGATTGGCGGCACTTTTCCGTTGTGATGTCCTCGACGAGGCCAATGCAGCCCGCTATGGGGCGTATGGGGAACAGATCGACGCCAATGACAATGCTCGATACGGGCATATTCTGTTTGGCCACCTGCATCCAGCCGCCAGGTGCGGCGCACAGATCGATGCATACCTGCGACTGTTGCAGGAAACCAAATTTGCGATTCAGCTGGATTAGCTTGAAGGCGGCACGCGATCGAAAGCCTGTCTCCTTGGCCAGCTGATAGAACTTATCCTTGCGCGTCTTTCCGACTTTCGTTTTCTTGCCCATTTTGCTGTTGTCCAATCAAATCAAATCAAATAAATTAAACCAAATTAAATGGCAAACAGAAACAGAACACGCCGCCACCAGCGCGATGCACGTGTTTAAAGTTGCTTTGACGGGTTGGCGTTGCCAGATGGCAAACAGCTGACAGCGCTGCCACCATCTACATGATATCGATAGCATGTTTGCTCGCAAGCATCGATTTCTATTAATTTGAAAATGTTTAATTATTAAATAAGACATCTGGCTTGCCAGAACATAAATACAACTGCGAATAGATAATAACTGGTAAATAAATTTAAAAATATTTGCCGCCGGCTTTAGCAGCATCGATGGTTTATCCATGTCGATACCTATTTCGACCTTATGGACGATACTTTTCGGCTGTAGCTGCACATCCCTAGGCTCTAGCTGTGCGCTGCATATTGTTATTTATGTCTTTAAGCTGATTTTTGTATTAAAAAATTATATAATTAATATGCTGCGCACTGTTATCTGCGATTTAGCTCGCCTACGGTCTGTATAAAAATCAATTAAGGCTTTGCGCATTTTTAACCTATATTTTCTGTGCCCAAAAACAGGCTGAGTGGCAGCGCCAGTCCGGCCGCCGTTTTGGTTACACAAGTGCGCGAAAAGGGTCATCTAAGCCGGCCACGCTTGAGGAATCCGTATTGGTTTATACGCAAGGAGCGCACGGTATGTGTGGACCCCAACACTCTCTCTGTTCGAAATCCCTTATCTAATTAAGCGACTGCCTTGCAGCACACGGACGATCTGGTCACGGGCGAGAATCGCAGCTTTATCAAGGAGGTGGTGCATGATACCTACGGCAAACCAGCTGTTATCAAGGGCATACAGACCTACGAACAGAAGCAACTGATCAAGACGCCCGAAGCGCCCACAGATATCGAACCCTGGACGCCGGCCGTGCGTCGCTGCGGTCTGATTGCCCGCAAGATTGGCCAATATCCACTGTGGCTAAAGAATGGCGAACGTGTGCGCACCACCCTCTTACAGGTGGTTGACAATCATGTGGTCAAATATATACCGCCCGGCGAATATACGCCCGCACAGCGTCCCAGCGTTAAGCATTTGGATAGATACGGCTGTGTGCTGGTCGGCGCAGAGTGCACAAATCCGGCGCTGTTGACCAAAGAGTATTGCGGCATCTTTCGGGACTCGGGCGTTATGCCCACAAAGAATTTGGCGCGCTTCATAGTCTCACCGCAGGCGGCTCTGGCGCCGGGCACACCACTAAATGTGGGCCACTTTCGGGTGGGCGAATTTGTCGATGTGCGCGGCAAGACGTGAGTTGATAAAGCAGAATTCGAGTCTTTATGTAATCAATTGGCAATTTGCAGCGTGGACCATGGCTTTCAGGGCGTGGTCAAGCGACACGGCTTCAAGGGCATGCCGGCATCACATGGCGTGACCAAGACGCATCGTCGCCCCGGCAACATTGGCGGCGGCGGCGAGAAGGGTCGCGTCTGGCCGGGCACCAAGATGCCCGGCCATATGGGCAATCGCTGGCGCATTATCAAGGGCCTGCGCATTTGGCGCATCAACACCAAATACAATGTGATGTGGGTGCAGGGCAGCGCTGTGCCCGGCTCGACAAACGGCCTGGTCTACATCTATGACACAATTCTGCCCTTGCGCAAGCCCAAAGAGGCGCCACCATTTCCCACGCTCTACGAAACGGAGGACGATGCGCCGGAGGACATCTGGTATGATCAGGTGCACAACTTCAAGGACGAGACCATCACCTACAAGCCAGAGTGATCAGTGCCTAGCCATAAGCTCTTTGTTATACTATATGTATAGAACCTAGATAAACAAAACAAATGAAAGAAACAAACACGAAATTTGTTTTTGAACAGTTTACAACCCACAGACGTTGATCTCTTGAAGATCTGTCAACATTTTATTAAGTACAGTTGTTCTAAGTTCTAAAAATTTCAAATATCTATTGCTTATGTAAAGCCCAAATTCCGATTTTGGGTTTAAATCAAAAATCTTAAACTATCCAAATCCAGAAAATAATATTAATATTAGAAGCTATATTAATTTTGTAAATCAATCTGTGCTGATCTTATCTATAGCCTGAGTTAATTGCATTTGCCCTTTGATAAAGATTTAACTAGGTTTGAAATCAGTTTTTTGAGTCCAAAAATAGTGTGATCAAATTTAACCTCACTTTTCGGTTCGAAAAATTAACCTCACTTTTCTGTTCGAAAAATTAACCACACTTTTTTGTTCATTTGGCGAACATGATTTTTGTCACATTTACTTCGAGCAACAATTTTCATTCAAATGCTTGAAATTTGAAATTTGAACGCAAGCTCAAAAACTTACTAAATATTTTTAAGCGTACAGTTTTGCAGGCTTATGAAGATGCTTTGATTTGGGTTAAAAGGTTGGTAACATTTATTAAGATCTATAAACGAACAACAGATCGGATCTTCGAGCGGATATGATGAAATCCAGTTGGGTTATTATAAAAAAAAAAAACAGAAAGCCTTTTAATCATTAGAGCAACACTTTTTTTCTTTTTTAATTGCGCTTTTACACTCTTACATTTTAAAGGATTTTGTTAATAATTTTTGTTGTTGTTCTAAGATCTAATTACAATGTCTCTAGTTTTGGCAATAACCGAAAGATATGCCGGGTAAAACAATAGCTGCTCGCTCAGTTCTCAATTAATTAATTAATAACATGCTTGGCTAATCTTTAAGCTGGTTGAGAGAAAAAAATATATATGTATATATATATATATACGAATCTCTATATATATGAAACACAAGACTCGCTGCTTGGGCGAGCGCGGAAGTTATCACAGCAAAATGAAACAGAACAGAAGAAAGAAGGAAAGAAGGAAGGAAAACAAAAGAATTATATAAATAAATATAGTTGCCCGACTCTCAATTAAAATATACCCAATATATAGACACGAGAAAGAGAGAGCTTAACTCGGGACTTACGGGACAATGGCAAATACATGAAATTTTGAAGAGAAATATGTTTGGGGGGGGGGGGGGGGAATTAAAATAAAAACCAAGCCCAAAAAGCTAATCGAGCGAATTCTGTCCAACGCTCTGCACATCCAGTTCGGTGCTTGAGATGCTCGGCGATATGGTTGTTGAATTAGAATTGTTAGCACCGCGATCCAGATTATAATATTGTACAATTCGTGCTGGCGGACGATTCGAGATAACTTCCGTAATTTGTCCGACAATCCATTTGGTTAATTTAATAACAGCCACATGGGCGGCAAATTGTAAAATCATCGCACCGAAACCCTTATAAAGGCCACCCACACCCTCCGTCAGCATGGTGGTGCGATAGCAATCAATAGCGCCCTGATAGTTGGTCAATATGGGCACCACCGCATACCCATTGTCCAGATTGTCAATTATGGTGCGCGTGCCCTGCAGCTGCAGGCGATGCAGTATGGTCTCGAATGGAAAGAACAACACCTCTGTGGTCAGCATGGCAATTAGGCTCGCATAGATTTCGGCATTCTGATGCTCGAGCGTATCATCGCGAAATTTGGCGCCACGCTGTTCCTGCTTGATGACCAGCCGACGTCGCATAATGCGCGACGAGACGCCACGTATGACCAAACTGAACAGATATTTGGTTATGCCCATGGAGACGCTGGGTCCAATTAGCGCCCAGGCGGGCAGCATGCGTCCCTTTTGCGGTGAGCTCCAGTAGAACAAGCGTAGACTGCCCTCGCGAAAGACATCCAACAGGCCGGGCTTCTCGCTGGCAATATCACTTTGCACCGTCTCCACCAGCGAGGCGGCATAGAAGGGCACCACCAGGCCAATGCTGATGCTGCACCAAAAAATACAATCAATTAATATATATATGGAAGATGCACGGCATTCCACTTGCCATTTGAGCAGTATATGCTGGCCAAAGCGTTTGAGCGTGGTGCGGCTATCGACATCCTTCGGCCAGCTGGTCACCTTGCAGATGACATCGTCTATGGCCAGGGTCATGCCGCGGACCAGCAGACAGCTGCCGAGGCCCTTCCATAACGTGGTGACGCCCTGTCGTCGATGCAGATGCACAATGCTGGGCAGCAATTGAAATGGATGCAAATGATAGCGCTGCGATGCATTATAGACCTGGCACTGGCGTCGCAGCACTATGAACGGATGGCTCAGCAGATTCTCGGTGACCAGCGAGACCCATTGCACGCCAAAGACCAGATACTTGCGCAGCGATACCTCTGTGGGGGGACAAAGGAAAGATCTGCTTAGTTAGTAGGCTTGTGTGATAAGTGGCTAAGCTAACCATCCTCCTGGCTGTCCAGATATTTGTCCAGCGCCTTGGTCTGCTTTTCCAGCGGCAGCGACAGATCGCGCTCCGAATTCATGTATTTCAGATGTGTGACCGCATTCTGATCCGCATTTATGTTGTCCACAATTGCCTTATCGCGATCGTCAAGGCTTAGCGTGGAGGAGCACACATTTATATAATTGGTATGGTGAATGATGCTTGGCTCCGTTTCTATCTACCTACCTGTTAACCAGCTGCACGCCGGGATCGCCGATTAGCTGCGGCATTGTCTGCATGTGTTGGATAGCCTCTGGCTGTGCTTGCGTCTGTTCGCCGTAACCACGATTCGTTGCATGCCTTTATTTATTAGTGTTTGTTTTAATCAGTTTAGTTTAGTGGCGGGCGTTGCGTTAGCGAGTTGCACTTACATTAGAGTCTTATAATTGTTGATGCTGCCTGACATAATATTGTGTTTTGTGGCGTGTGCTTGAGTAGCCCTTCTAATGTTAATGCCTCTAAGTCCCTGTTTCGTATGTGTGTGTAAGCCTGCTGCTGCTGCTGCTGCTGCTTTACTATTTATTTTTAAACACTAAATAACTTTGATTTCCATGTAACTGTGTGAATTCCAACTAGAGATGGGCGCGTGACACGTGGCACGTGCACGAGCACGCCGCTAAATTTGAAAGCATACGCAAGACACACACATTATGTGTGCAAATCAATTCTTACAGTTTATTTTAAATTTAAATAGTTTATTTTGTATACGCTGATATGCAGCTAAAAAAATACCAAAGAAAAACAATTGAAAATTGGCACAAGAC